CGCCTGAAGAAAACATGCAAATTTCCCACAGTCATTGATGATATGAAAGGGAGCTGGGGAAAATGGCTGTCATTACATCTTCAATAAATGCCCAAGTTTGCGTTGACATTTTGGACTCTCTTCATCTAAAAGGACATTTGGGAATGATGAAATCATTTCTCGAGATGACAATGCACGGAGCCATCGAGTAAAAACAGTGAAAACATTCCTTGTGTGGCTCAGTAGTAGATCACCCATAATTGAGTGATTCCATATTTTTTTTTCCCCATCTACTTGGTCACAAAAAAATAACCCTTTGTGACTAGCAACTAGCACATATTTTTTCTTAATTTGTTTCATTGTTTCTTGAAGCCAGAACGCTGCGATTTGAAATGACTTTCGTTTTGTGTCATGTCCCTACAAATATAAACAGCTGACTGAAAATCCTCTGGGACTGATAATTGCAAATATACGTTTTTTTTTTTTTTTTTTTTTTTTTTTCCAGGGGGGAAGTGATACAGTATGTGCTCTGTGATTGGCTGGCAACCAGTCCAGGGTATTTTCCACCTTTTGCCCACAGTCGGCTGGGATAGAATCCAGAGCGCCAGCGATACCTAATGAGGACAAAGTGCTATCGAAAATGGATGGATAGATAGAAATGGGTGCTGTTAAGTCTGATCAAATGGAGAAATAATCGATAATATTAGTAATTTTCTTCTGCATATGCCCTACTTGTTGCAAAGCTCTCTAGTTCAGACAACTTGCGCTGGTGTAAAAATGAGCGTTGGCCACTTGGAACGTCCAAACTGTCCGTGGCATTTATCCCACTTCATCCTCTGATGGAAAAATTGGCTCCAATCCACACTCATCCACCCAAGTTGACGTCTGCAGTGTCAGCCTGTGAGTGTTTTGTTCATGCGCGGGAGTGGATATGCATATACGGGAAGAATATAAAACACAGTCACATTTTAAAACACGAGCTACACACAGTGCCTTCATTTTTCAATCAAACGTGTTGGTGAAAAATCCAGAACTTAAAAGCACAAGAAAGACAATGAAAAGGTACTTGACAATCAACTTCTGCGTATTTGTGCGACTATGGCTTAAGCGTCCTTGAAAGCCGATGTACAAGTTATTGTTCCTACCCATCCGTCCGTTTTCTACATTGCTTATCATCACAGGTGAGCTGCGTATCCCCCATGCGGAAAACGTGACAAATTCGACTAACGGTGGGTGCCACGAAACCTGCAATCTGAGAAGGGATCACTTTCTGTAATAATTCGCAAAGTCACAGATTTTTTTTCCACAGATCATATTGAACATGTAGTCAAGTTGACTATTTTAACAAATATGACCAAAACTTTTTTTTCATTTTAGAAATTGCTAATTCCCATTTTAAGATCTTGAGGTTCAATTTTAAAATGTCATCAAATATGTTCATGTTTCTATAAAACATAAGGACTTTGGATATGGTCGGGGGGGAATACAAAACAATGTTTTCCAAGCTCTGAACAACACCACAAGATATGTACTGTTCCATGATTTTTGGTGTACCATGACACCCCGCCCCCGTCATATACATTCGAACCACCCGCAACCGTAGCTAGAATGTGACTGTCGCTAAAAAAATAAGTTTGACACCGGTGACCTAAGTCATGCATGACTCCATAATGCCATCCATCATTCGTACAAGGCCGCGTCCTTCTGAATGCCCGCCTTCACGGAGACCGGTCCTGATTGAAGGTGGCATTCTACTGGCACAACGAGAGCCGCCGGCGCATCTCGCAACCCTGCTCGGAAGCCGACGAGACAGGCCCAGACGCCGCACGTCATCTGTGATCCTCATTATGCTGATTAGCACATGTGTTAGGAGTCCGAGAAAAGAGGGGAGAAGAGGTGCAAAGGCTCTTCTCGAGGTATGTGACTGAATCCTTCTTTCGACTGGCGATCCAGACGCAGGAAAGAGCAGCAGAGGGTAACCACTTCTCTTAAACAGTTGTACCGTAATTATCTGCCCTGCAAATTTTCAATGAATCCAGAAATCTGCTCCATCGTGTAGCAACACACAAAATGCCACACAAGACACTAAATCATTTCAATGTCACCCTGCACTTCTCATTATTTATCCCACAAAAAAAACAACTAATTTTTGAATGTGTAACCATGGAGACTGAGAGAAAAAAAAATACTGTAGTTGCTGTCGGGGCCTCATTTTTATCAGGAAGAGATAGTCAGGGATTTCGTGAACATTTCTTTTCATTTCTCGATATTACATGCAGTTTCTACATTTATTGATGTTTGATTATACTTCACTGGGTACACCTGCATGATCAAATGGTATCCAACAAGAGCTGATGGAGCATTCAGTCATCCGTTGTCTTAATCACTTATTCATTTCAGAATCATGGAAAGCTAGATCCTATCCAAGCTAGATATACATCAGTGGTATAGTCTTCAAGTCTATCTTACAGCTCTGGAAGTCAGGGGGAACGCTTTTAGAACTGAAGTAATACGTACTGAACTTTTTTTTATTTTCCTGGTCAGAACCTAAGCTGTACTGTTCTGAATGAGCTGCAGCTGTTTGATGCTCTTTTGGGGGGACTCCAGGCAGAAGACGATTACAATAGTCAAGGAAGATTAAAAACAGGGATAAGCTTCTCCTCGTGTCCAAAGCAAGTGACTTCACAAATGACCCAGAAGCAGCAGCAGCAAGCGACAATCCTGTTCTGCTGGAAGCATGCAACCCCTCACTCTGGATATGTTTTAAGCTGGGCAAAGGTTATTTCAGTGATTTATTTGACATGACTGCTCAAAGTCAGATCCGACTCTATCAAAGGACCAATGTTTTTGACTTGGTCTTTTTCTTTGATTTTTAAAGACAGGAACTCTTAAGAGCAATCCTCTTCTTTATTGCCAAAAACAAATATCTTTGTTTTGTTTCATTTGGGTTGAAGTAAATTTTCGTTCATCAAGTTATATATTTGTTTTAGACAGTGACACAACAGCTTAAATGAACTGTTGTCATTTGGGGATACCGAGACATATAGCTTGTGTGTCATCTGCATAGCCATGATAGTCAACATTAGAGTTGCGAAGAATTTGACCCAAGGGTAGCATGTACACGCTGAACAAAAGGAGGTCCAAGGACAGATCCTTGAGGGATCCCACATCACAAGTACTTTCCTTTGAGAAGGGCATGAACCATTTTAGGAGGGTTCCATTTATTCCGACCTGAGATCCAGTAAAACTGGAACTGACACCTTTCCCGAGTCGGTGTGCCATCTTACGTCATGAAGCACTTTGATAAAAGCTGATTCTGTTACTGAGGTGAGGTCAGAAACCTGGATGAAATATGTCGAAAAGTCAAATTTTCTTGAAGAAATTGAGATGATAAAAAACTTGACTCAGATATTAAACACACTGCTATTTTGTTTTATGTACCTCTCAATGACAAAATTTAAGTGGTGAATTAAACAAGGCACCATTGGGGGGTTTGGGTTAAAAGACCGACAATGACCTTTTGACCCATTATCGTCAATATATCTCTGTTTGATGAGGAAACAGCAAATAAAAGGTTCTTAGTGGCAAAGACGGAGAAGATTAAGGAAGGGTGAAGCAATCAATGTCGTGCACAGATTGCGTAACTAAGAAGGGATGCATGAAGGACAAAATCATAAAGAATGTCTTTGTTTACGGCACAAATGAAGAACCCTCAGAGTGCTTTTCGGGATCGCTAGCCAACTTCAATAAGAACTCATCAGTTATGCAACAAAAGAAAAAATCATTTCACAAGGCAAAACTGTGATTCGAAAGGTCAGCGCTGAGTTCATATTGTTGGTGAACCTTGTGTATAGATTGATATCAATTTACAGGGAGAATAATATCTCTTTTGACCGTAGATGAAGAAGCTGAGATGTTATGTTATGTACAAAATTGCAATCCCTTGTGATCCAATTATGCTAAGAGTTGTGCAAAGAAAATCTTGCCTTTATAAAGTTTATTATGCTCAGTTTTGATCATACTATCTATAAGTTATTCAGATCTACTATTGTGATTGTCGTGAGATGTTGCCAATACTGTAGTTTGGTTAACTCTCTGGCCTTATTCAATTACAGGCAGTCTATAATTTTTAAGATGTTTTTGTTTTTTAACTTTCACCGCATAGAGTGCTTAACATTAGTTGTCAAAATTAGTGTAAATTATACATTTGTTTTTTAAACAATGCGCAGGTTTGGGGGAAAAAACTCAAAATGAAATGCTTTTTTTATCAGTAGGCCCACCATCTTTTTTCTTCTCGTCGTAACAGCACACTATTTCTAATGCAGTCAGAAGAAGAGTCAACACAAATTAAAAGGTCATTATTTTCTTGTCCCAAAAACTATGAATTATGTAATTAGGTAGAAAACCAAATGCAAAACATTTACATTTTGGTTCGAGACAACCCATTTTATTCACATAGTATGACTCGACCCAGTAAATCAGGATGTGATTTTCATGAATTTCAACTGGATAAGCGTGGCCACAGCCAAAAGGTACAATTGGATGGAAACATTATCATAGATATATTTGAAGAATGAATAATGAACTTAGAAATAACAAAATCAGGTAATTAATTTCCCCACCCTTGGAAAGTTCAACATTTGCATCAAAACAGCTAAAATGGGGCACCAAAAAATAAAGTGGAGACCGACCACTTGGTTTGTAGCAAGAAAGTCAAAACATTAGAAACCTCTCAGTATAAGACATTTCTCATAAAGTGGTCAGCAACTGTACAGTACAAATAATTCACTTGAAAAGTGAGATTCTGTTTCAATTTAAAAACAGCAACAGCAAACAAAACAAACCATGTCAATGGCTATTTTGGAACTCGAAGTTGACCACCAGCCTCAACAACCCCAAGAAGCGCACATGCTCTTCAACCCATGTACGAACTACTCTCCTGGCTAAAACACAATACTTCTGATTTGATCAGCAAATACAAGCTCAAAGGTGTGTAAAGTTGTGCGAAGAAATGTTTGTACCTTGCTATCAGGGCAGATCGGTGCGAAGGTGCAGCAATGGTGCCACGTAGCCCACAGGTATCAAAACGGTCACGACATGTTCCCAGGGTGCAGGTGCCCGTTTCATTAAAGCGCCGGCATCCAACCGTTTCCGGCAACATTTATACCATCCAGCTGCCCTCCGATTTCCTCCTCACTCGCTCTCCTCACTTCACCTCTCTCTCCCTCTCTTTCTGTGGTTCGTCTGTGCGTAAAACTGACGCAACCGTCAAATGCGCGCAAGCTGCACCTTCCGCCTTCCTCAAGTGATAATTCAAACACTGCGACCCGCTAGTGGACATTCATCATCCAAGGGGGAGAAAAGTCGGATTGTGTCCATTTCGTTCGCCTCCAACAAAATCAGGTAACTCACCTGAGAGGAGGGAAGTGGTTAAAATAACTAAGTGGGATGCTGCTGCCCTCATGCGGACAAAGTAGGCTCTGCAGTCACTTATGTCTTCTTCTGTAGACTTCAGGGCTTCTCAAACTTCACGAGGGAGATTTTTTTCCCAAGGACTCCTCATAATCTTAACATATATTAAACCTTTCATTAATGTTGGTAAACAAAAAATAAATAAGTCGCTGCTGCTGTCCTGAACTGAAAATAATGACAAAAATATGTTTGGGTGAGAAGGATAAATCGAGCGGAGGTGGTAAATACTAAATACAAGGCAAGACTGCCGAGTGGTGGAGTAAACACTTCTAAAGGCACGATTTCGGAAGTGGAAGACATTTTCTCACAATACTGTATAAAGTTCAATTGGTTGTCTTTCATCAACACATAGTGGCTAACATGCTAGCTAACGTCAGGTCTAGGCCATTTCAGTGTCAAAAGAGTACATCTGTGGCATTCATTCGAGCAACAGAAAAGGTAATTAATTAGACAATCCTTGGCATGATCATGGCTGAATTTCCAACACATTCACTGTAGTTGTGATGCAACTCACCTGTTACTATGTACAAAGTAAGTTACAGCCGGCGTTGGATGTCTCACTTGGAAGTTATTTACCTACTGTAACATATCCTCAATTTACACGACACAGATTAACTTCAATGGAAGAGGAGACTAAAATCAACATCTACAGAAAATAGTTTGACATAAAAGAGGCATACAAAAATGTTTAACTGAAGAAGCACTCAAATAAATGTTTAATACAGTGTTGATGTTCAGTATGTGCAATGGAATTTTTGATAGAGCGGGTACCCAAAGCACTTTACACTGTTTGCTCATTCACCAACTGATGACGCAGCATCAGGAACAACTGGGGGTTCAGTATCTTGCGCAAGGACACTTCGACATGACCACAATGGCTTGGGATTGAACCACCAACCTCTGGGTTGGTAAACTCTACCACTCAGCCATGCCGGCCCCCGAAAACTTTGGATGAGATGCAGAAAATTGATCAGAGTTTTGATTGGCATCCTTGACAGATTAAAAAAAAAAAAAAATACACTTTTCCAAAGATATATTTGCACCTTCAAATTGTCAATACCTGCAACCAACGGCGCCACCAACAAGCACCCAAATTGCTCCCAATTCAAGAAAACCAGTAAAATGCAATTATAAAATAAAAATAACACAGTATCTTCAGGATGACAGGGAATGTTTACACTGGAGTGGACCTGAGGTGTGAAATTCAAGTGTGGAGTAAAATGTGATTGTTTAATAAAAATAACCCAGTACAGTATCTTCAATGCTGACACAGAATGTTCTCACTGGAGTGGAGTGCGGAGGGAAATTCCAGGACGAGCAAAAGCCAAACAACCCTAATTTGGATAAGCACTAAATTGTACACCTCCATAGATCCCAACCTCTTGCATATGGAAGACTGTGGTCGCTACAATGCAAACTTTGTTCAAGAAAATCAACCCCTTAATTTAAAAAAAAAAAAAAAAAAACTCAATTTTCAAAAAATGGCTCGGAATGCTCCACGCCACAAAGTTTCTTTTTTATTGATTTAATTTTGTCTCTCATAATTCAGCAATAAATTAACTGCAAATAAAAGAATATCCCTGAAGGAGGTATAAAATATCTTTGTCGACGCCTAAGACGTAAAATGATTTTTTAAACCCTTCTCTAACACCTGCTCAACCTTACGATAGGTTCCAGTGCTTTAACATTGCACATCATACAGAACAGTAAATAGTGATGTGCAACCCAAGAGTGCATAATGCATTGACAAAAATCAGCACGCAATGTGTTGATGAGCATCTAAAGGGCCAGGTGTTGGGAGTGCAAAGATTTTCATGAGGTGTTTGCACAGGTATTGGCCTTGTCACCTCATCATCGGATAATTATGCCTGCCAGGTCTGAATAGAGGTAAAGCATTGACTAAACAGGCTTTTGACTTCATTTGACCCCAATTACTTAAGGACCGCCACAAAGAAAAATAAAAAAGTGATGTTTGAGTACCGTATTTTCCGCACTATAAGGCGCACCTAAAAGCATTCCATTTTCTCAAAAGCATCCAGTGCGCCATATAATCCGATGCGCCTTACATGTGGGTCAATATTATGATTTCTTGGACGTAGTATTTTAAATGTTCTGTAAAGTGCTTTGTTAGAGCTGCAGCAGTTGTGAAAGCTCTATTATTAAAAAAAGATGTATTGTATACCCTTTAGCGTACCTCCATCTGGTGGATGCATAACACAACTGCAGCCACGACTGCCGTTTCTATTCTATGCGCCTTATTATGCGGTGCACCCTACATATGAAAAGTTTTAAAATAGGCCATTCACTGAAGGTGTGCCTTGTACTCCGAAGCGCCTCATAGTGCGTTGAATATGGTATTTATTACCTAGCTGTATTATTCATAGAGCTTCTGCTCTAAGTCAGTCTCTCAAATTTAGTGACATATTATTCATAATGTATATGGAGAAAAAAAAATCCACATTCATGTTTAACTGTCGTCTTGACTCAGTGTACAATATGCTGTAATGTGTGTTGCAAATACATTGCATTTGTGTAATTATTCGTCCCTTTGTTAACTAAAAAAAAAAAACAAAAAAAAAACCACCTTTTTTCCTCAAAACAAAGCTTGGAGATTCATTATCTTCTTTGGGATGGTAAAATATTCAAGTCTGGCATTAATTAAATTCACTCAATAAAGCAGATTTTTTCCCCCCTTCTTCAATTTGCCAATGTCATTATTTTGCCTTTTCTGGAAATCACTTTCTTCTGAGCTAAGAATTGCTACGGATATTGCCAACACATCCTTGTCTCTAGCATTCCAACAGATAATGATACCCTGAGATGGAGTTCCTCAAGACCAGATGTGGTTGAGAGAAGACACTCAGCAGTGCTCTAGCCTGACCCCTGCTGGACATTCTTCTCATAGTTCTCCCGGCAGATCTGGACACGGCGGGTGAAGTAGTCGGGCTCAGAAATGGCTTTGAGAAGATCGGTCTGGATTAAGGCGATGTCATAAAGCTCCGAGATGCAGGCCGTGCGAGTGTCCGAGCCGCCGGGCTCCATGAAAACCTGGATCATACACAAGAGTCATGTTGGGTTTCTGTTCGTTTTTCAATGCAAGTGCATCTGGAGCTACTTTGCATCCAGTATGTGGCTGAAATAATCACGTAAACATGCCAAAGCACAACCAAACCTTTCTGGTGTTCGTAAAGTTGAGACAAACCGTGAATTTTGTCTTGCTCTGCTGAGCGACCAATTTTAGAATGCCTAAAAGCAAAAACCTCAGCGCAACAGTTTGTAAATTATTAATGGGGAGAAAAAGATAACCCCATTGTTCGTGTGCATGCCGTTACATGCCTAACCTGAGACTGCAGTGAAAAGGGGACCAATGGTTTTAATTAAGTTAAATAATAAATTAAGTCCGCTTCCTTCTAGATTTAATTGCTCTTTAAAAAAAAAAAAAAAAGTGATACTGGGACAATAGTTTGTCAAAATTCTTTAACTAAACCTGTAATTGTGGTTTTGGTTGAAATACTTTGTAGAACTATTAAAAACAATAGAGGCCACACTTTTTCCAAAAGATAGAACCGTGTCAACCGGGGAAAAAGTAGACAAAGTACATACATTAAGTTAAAATTAGACTCAACTCTGAGCATCCCGTTGATTTTTTTTTTTTACCAGTTTACTCCAAATTGTGATGACATCTCCCTTGGCCTATAAAGTTTCGTGAAAATTTCTTGGGCTATTTTTTTGTTTGTTTGTTTTCAACATTCACCTCATTTGGAACGAAACAAATACACAGTGCAACTCGCCAGCGGGGCAAATAAAGTCAAGTAGCTGCTGACTGGAGCACGGCACGAAGGCCTTGCAGCTCTTAATGAATTAAGCCTCTATAAATGTTATCACGTAATTGCCAGCGTCCGACTTTCATCGAATGAAGCAACACACCAGCACGGAGTCAGCGGTTTACTCCAGAAGAGCTGAGTCAGGGAGTTACAGTGCTTAAAGGAGCTTTAAAATGTTGTTCCCACTAAATGAGACCACTCAAAAAAAAAAAAAAAGCAAAAAGAAATAAATAAAAACTATGCCTCAATTAAAAGTTAATGAGGCAAAAAGCAAGGCAGGAGTGAGATTACTGCATGCCGCGTAAGATGAAAAACGGGTGTGGGGGGCAAGTGAAGAAATTGATCTGAGCGAAAGACCACCGTTGTGTGCTACCTTGGGATGTACGACGGTATCCTCCTCATTCTGTCGTATGTTGTCGTCGATGAAGATGTGCTGAACATGCTTGTCAAAGGGGTCCAGCCACAGCGGTTTCCCACCTTGGATGGAGAACTTCTTAGTCACCCACCTTGGATTAATTTAGTTCAAAAAAAGTGGATAAGGATACATTGCAGGAGCCTGACGTCACCTCGATCGCACGTGGGTAATTAGCGGTACCATTCATAGTCATCCTGGAAGCCTCCGAGCCCATTTGCGCTGCTCAAGAATTGGTAGAGGCCTCTCTCGCCATCGCGGGTCGACAGCCGCTCTGCGCCTCTGCTCAGAAGAACCCCTTTCGAGCTGCAGCGGATCTTGCCTGGCGTCTTATTCACACTTAACTGAGCAGGAGAGAGGTCCCGTTAGGATTTTGCTCTTACAAGTCGTACACAACAGCACGCCTACTGGGAGAACAGTGTGCTTTCAGTCCATGACACGTTTATTATTTTCACAAGAAAATCTCAAATAGTGGATGAAGGCACTTAGTTATTCAACTGCTAGCTACCACATGTTCATTAGAGAGGAGGTTTGTGTTTTTACACATGTAGTTATTTTTTCATTTAAAAAAAATCATGCTCAAAATGAATAAATGCAGCCATTGAATTACATCCTTTTTTTCCCCCCTGAGGGCATTACTCGAGGGTAGGCACTCATTTATTTAAGTGGACTATGACACAATTTCTATGAAGGCACAGGTCATGATTTGAGGATATACAATATTTCTACATTTATTCCTGAGACGATTTTGTGTGCCAATATGAAAATTCTGATATATTAAAGCAGAGCACTGTACCCACATAAGCCTTTAGATGTTTTTAATATTAACAAGCGGAAAACCCGCAGTACAAAATGCAACGCCGTGTAGATGACAGCAGAGTCAAAAACTGTATCACACCACAAAACTCTCGCAGTTCCCTTGATTTAGTACTGCAGTCGCATTTTTAAACGACACCGTTCTCATGGCAGATCAATGCAGACTTTCAGTGGAAGATGTTTAGCATTTGACAAGTGATTGTTTGAATACGTTTTCCACATCAAGCTTACCCTGACAGCCTTGGAGGCAGGGAGAGAAAAGAAAAAAAAAAAACCTTCTATTCATTCTCCAGAACTGAAGCAATAACATTTTTATGGGATAGAGTTTTTGAGAGCTGTTCCAAAACTGAAGGATTAGATGTGAGAAGAGTGATTTTCTGTCTTGGAAGCACCCGATCGCACTCCAGCTGACGCCAGTCAGAGTTTTGTCAGTGTGGATGCTGGAAAACCTTTTAGGTGCGAGTTGCGCGCAGGATGCAGGTGATTCAATCTACTTGTGTGTGGCTTCAGACAATTTTAGCACTTGAGTGCACGAGACAAGTGTGAGTGACAGTCGTTTGTCCCAAAATGGTTCACTCTGTTCAAGAAATCATCATTTCATCAGCAACCTCTGCAGGAGCCCGATAACAATCCTGATCATTTGAATCAAATGCAGCAGGGGGAGATGGCAAACATGCAGAATAACGGCCCTCGAGGACTTCAGTCCCACACCTGTGCCGTACAGTATCTTTTACTTGTGTTAGATTGGACAAGATTCAAGATTTCATGGGAGGACATTGTTACAGTTTAAGACTAATTTTAATTCTCATAAAATACTGTTCAGTTAACTGTGATTACAGGACACACGATATAAGCAAAGGTCTGCATTAAAAAAATATATACCGTAAATTCCGGGCTACAGACCGCACCTGATTAAGAGCCGCATGCTCAGATTTATGAAGAAAAATCAATTTTGTAATTATATGCGCCACACCGTACTATAAACCGCTGGCCAATGAGTAGGCAGGGGTTTGCTTCTGCGTCCCTGCCGCCGGGAGCGCCTCCGGGTGAGGCCGCTGACGCGGTCCCCCGCTGAACCCCCCAGAAAAATAACATGCTTTTTCTCTCAAATATATTGTAAGAATCATTTGTTTCAGATGTACTGTAATTATTTTCTGTACAAAAATTAATATGGTGGTCAAAAAGTCTTTTTTCAAACTTGAGTCTTGAAAAAGAGAGGGTCGTCTTATAATCAGGGCCGTCTTATATTCGGGCCAATACGGTAAATATATCAAAGTGTAAACTTCATTCATGGATGGTATCCCCATAACATAGCCAAAAGCAGGCACGCCAGAACTCACTCGTCCGTATCCACGCCGTTTTTCACATATCCGCTCGTTTTCCACAGATGGTATTAGAGTTCACTGGCAAGTGAAGGTCATGTTGAAATTGGAGAAAAACGAATCATCCAGGACATTTTACTTTCTCTTTCCATTTACAAGACTGGCAAATTGCTCAACCATGACCCAAGATTTCCCAGAACACCGGACGTTGTGCAAAAGGACCAGGAGGAAACGCTAAACAATGACAGCCAGAAATGTTCCCAATGGCAGCAGGTAAACAGCTTCCAAGTGGTGATTCCGAGAAGTGATTTTTGTTTGGAAATAAAAGGCAACCTTGGTAATTTACGGCACAAGAGATTGAAAATGTCTGACAGTGCGTTTGCAAATGCAGAGTGACAGGTCTAATCTATTGGGGAGACGATGCTGAGAGTGAGTGTGACTCCACCTCACCTTTAAATCAGGAAGATCGGGAAACAAGGGATGAGCGCCCTGCGTCAGTGTTTTGGATACGGCACTGAGCACACGAGGTAGGTCGCTTCCAAAAGTACGAAAGTGGATGGCAAACTCGGTCCCTTGCTGCGTTAGGTCTTTGAGCAACTGGAAAAAGGAAGGAAGGATCCAGTGGTACAGTCGTCCATCCTCCGCCTTTATTGACAGCTCTCGGTCTCCCTGTAGGGAGGCCAGTTCATCAGCACACGACATAGTCAAAAGATCCAAAACACATTCTGTTTGAGATCTGAAGGCGGACTACCTGTATTTCGCTGAACAAAGTCAAATATATGTATTTGCAAAATAATCGCCAATTATTTATTTCACCTAGTGAATGTGATTGTTGCTCCTGAACAAGCGCAAAGCGTCGGCAATTCAAAGCAATGAGTGAGACATCACTTTCATTTTGACAAATGACTATAAGCGGTTATCTGCGGGATGTGAGTGATGTTTGGTTTTGAATATGCTGCAAGTACTTCATGTAGTACAGGGGCAGCAAATGTTCTGCTTTTCCCAGAAACGTTTCGCTTCTTAGATTTATCCATGGTTTACCTTCCAAAGGGTGAATAGCTCACTAACTCTTGTACCAGTTGTAACACACCGGCGGCCGTAATGCATATTTTCACAAAATCCACCAACCGCAAAAAAAACAACATTTTGAATGTTACAAGACCACAATAATCTTTCAAATAAAATCTGAAAGATGAATGAATTTTCTAAAAAAAAAAAAAAAATTTTTTTTTAAAAATCACAATTCAATACTGTTTATTTTCCAAAAGCCTGTAATAAGGCGTTCACGTCGTTCAAATTGTCCATTGTGTCTGAGAGGAGACTTACCTTTTCACCTTCAGGCCAGCGAAGCAGGTTCAGGTGTTCCTCCAGAATCCCACGAAAGCGTCGACCTGCACCGGAGGTGAACCTGGGAGTCGCTCCAAACTGAGAGTAGTAGTTGACGGCATCATCACGTGGCGGAAGCAGTGAGGGGGAGTCACTCAACCATTCCCACTTGCCTGCCAATGGAAAGAGACAGTTGAGGTCTGAAAGATTCCATGCTAGTAATCTACAAAGCCAACACCGAAAAGTTGGCACACTGGGTTAAACATAAATAAAACCAGAATACAGTGACTTGCAAATCACGTTCAACCTGTATTTATCACACAACAAAGAGAAGATATTTAATAAATATTTAATTGAAGGACACTAATCGTTGAAGCTTTGCGGGTGGAATTCTTTCCCTGTTCTTCCTCGATGTACAGCTTCCGCTGTTCAGCAGTCTGGGGGTCACCGTTGCTGTATTTGACGCTTCATAATGCATCACGCGTTTTCAATGGGAGACAGGTCTGGTCTGTCGGCAGGCCAGTCTAGTATGCGCATTCTTTTACTACAATGCCACGCTGTTGTAACACGTGCAAAACGTGGTCTGGCATTGTCTTACTGAAATGAGCAGGGGCGTCCATAACAAAGACATTGTTTGTATGGCAGCATGTGTTTCTCCAAAACCTGAATGTACCTTTCAGCATGAATGGCGCCTTCACAGATGTGTAAGTTACCCATGCCACTGGCACAAGCACAGCCCCATACCATTACAGATGCTGTTTTTTGAGCTTTGAGTCCAGAACCAACCGGATGGTTTTGTTCCTCTTTCGCCGAGAAGACTCAATAAAGTTGATCAGTATGAACATTAAATATATCGTCTTTGTCATGCATTCAAAAACACAATATAGTGGACCCCGAAAACGGTCCAAAACTCTTTTAAAACGCCGACAAACCTCAAATGTGCGATTTCTATTTAAAAAAAAAAAAAAAAAAACAGCAGGGGGAAAAGACGGAGGAAATATTAAAAAAAAAAAATAATGATAATCTGGGGCGGCACAGTTGAGTGCACGAGAGCTGAACCGCGAGTATATGGGGGTCCGCTGTACAGTGTCCATCGTCTGGGTACATGGTTTAAAAAAACGCACACATACTTCTCAAAACAAAACAGTTTTATTCAATTTTCAAAATGATTTCCATAGTTTTCAATGCATATATTACATTGAGTACACTTTCTCTTTTATCATAGCCCAGAAAGAGAAGTCGAGGAGAGCAAGGTCGAGCGAACGTGAAATCTGTCTGTACCCACTTTGTGGACACCCTGTACAGTTGTCCGTCGTGTTCAACAAAACGAGCCCAAATTTCACACTGAGCAATTGGAACTGTGAGTAGATCGAGGCGAGACAATTACGTCATCGTGTAGTTTTTCTTTAGTGGTGTGTCCTAAGTTTTGTTTCACTTAAGGGGTAAAATATGTTCCTTGGCTCACAAAAGTTGGGAAACTGCTCCTGCAGACCTGTCATTCTGCATAGCTGACATTCCACAAAACCTTTAGTTTCAAATAATAACGTCAAATCCGGTGGCGATGGAGGGATGATCAATGATCAAATCAAGGCTGTTGAACTGAATTCGACAAACGCTCTCCGCATTAAACGAGTCAGCACAACCGAAACTGTCGTTTTGGTTTTTCTTTTCAAGGGTTGAAGAAAATAGTTTTACCTTTACTCATTTTGCCCCAAGTTACAGTCGTCAGAAAATAATCCAGGGCAGCCACTGTTCCTTGGCACGTCACGGCGTCTGACACCAGAATGGTGTTGTTCAGGTCCACATGCAAGATGATTTTTTTCTGCTCGTGACTGGCAATACACACCCGTAGGCCGTCATTTGTCCCGTGCGCAGGTTTAGAGAGATGCCGGGAATTTGTCTCGTCGTTTTCTTCAGCTTGGTGGCTGTTGTCTCCACCGATGTGGGCCATCAGTAAACCAGTCCGTGTGGTAGTTAGTTTAAAAATACAGTACAGGACTTCAAATTTGGCTGGCTGAATTGAAATTCAGCCGCTTCGTTAACTTCCTTCCTAAACCGCTTGAAACTCTTCTTTAGCGGGTTAATATCATACAGGGTGACTTGAGCGCCACCCTTTGGTGGAATAAATTGATTCAGTGCCAAGCGCTACAATCATAACACGTCACAGAACATCGGCTGTTGTTGAGCTGGGGGGATCGAAAACATACAAATGATAAAAGTATTCTTATCTATTTTAGAAGGCCCTAAGGTCCAGCCTGAAAGGGTTTAATGGACATGAGTCATTCAGCAGTACCTTACAACGTTATCAAATTTTGAATTTTTATTCATATTACTCATTTGCACGTATCCAGCACAGCTTTCATTAAAACCCCCACCTTAATACGCGGTCTGTTACAAAGGATTAGTGGGGCGAAAACAGAAAAAGTGAGATCTGGCAAACGGTGTTGATTTGGTTAACATGAAAGAACATGCAGGCATGCACGTTTGACTTTTACAATTGCATTGATCGTTTAAAAGGCAACAGATGTCACGACAAATAAGACAACGAAGAAAAAAAAACGCACCCTCTTTCACAATTTTTTTTTTGTTGTTGCTACAAATTCCAATCCAGCCATGGGACCCACTAATTTAAAATGTAACTAGACAATAAGACCCTAAAGAAAACAAGAGGATACGTAACACACTTTAGCTCACATTCACAATTAAATAAACGGGACTGGTCAGCAGTGAAGTTTTTATTTTGACTTACCACAAGGTGCACTGACAAGTGGGAGCCTGGAGAAGCGCCGCCACTCAACTCTTGACCAGAGGTTTGAACAGTTTCGGCAGCAGCTTCTGCAAGCCCAGGGCGCTTATATATGCATTTCATGAATGGAACTACATGACAGTTCAGTATATCTTTAGCAACATTAATACATATTTGTGTAAGCAAATCAATAACCCTAAAATGGACCCTATTCTTGGGACACGGCCATCAGTTCGGTGCAGAAGATCTTGAGGCCCCTGACCTCAATCAAAAACCAATGGTATGAATGAAAAGTGAAGCCGCGATTGACACCCCTGTCCAACAACTTTAGCCCATTCCTATTTGAACGACAACAGAACGACAGATTTCCCGGCAGAGTAGAAGCTGTTCGAGATGCTCATTATGTGTAAATTGTCAAGTATCATGATCGATTTGTCCATGTCAAGTGTGCGGTTAGTCTGAGCACATTTTTCGTACTTCCACGTGACAGCACTCAAATCCAGCTCTTCCAACACTGCAGCATCAGATGGCCCAATTGAAGTGTTGACGTAATGATGAGCACCAATGTGTGTGTCGGCCAAGTAGATCTTAGCTCTAATTCAATGTGTCCCCGTGAGATGTTAGTCAGGTCACGTTTGCGTCCCTTCTGCTACAGATTAGTCCACATCTTCCATGTTGCTGTAGGATGCTGTTGCACAGTCTCCAGAATGCGCAAAGACACCAGAGGTCACCTCCGGGGTCAACGTGGGTGGTCCCTCAGAGTCCAGGTCAGCGCCAAATAGTGACTGACTTGATGCCTGTAAAAGAAACCAGTATTGACAATAAATCAGGCGGGTTTATTTCATCTTCTGTCAATCGTCGTGCTGAGTTAATGCAAAGGATATGCAAGCTACAAATTTATTTTAATTTCCAAAGATAGAAAACTACATAGAAAATTACATATATTAGGAAGTCACTTTTACAGAAGAACCTTACATACATTATTGTTGGGATCTAATAACTTGCGCGTTTATACATGACAGAGAAGTAACATTCCATACAAGGAATTGCAATCAATATAATCCAAGCCATATACTATACAATTCTATACGTGTACATTGATATTTGGACGAAGGCAAACAGGAAGGCTACAGTGGAAAATCCCTGAGACCCGCATTTCAAGACAATCAGAATCAGCACAGCAGCACAGGAGTCAACATGCAGATTTCAAATGTGCATTTGTCCTATTCCACAACATGTGGGGAAAAAAATGCAACTTTTAAAATATATTGATACAGTATTACATAATGAACCCAGTACGCTCCAATGTGCTCTTTACATTCATGCTAATATCACATCTCATACTGTCACAAAATGTGGTGGTGGATGGTGGAAAAATTCAAGACAATTAATCCAAATAAAATTCAACAGAATATGGCTTAAAATATAAAATGCAACAGGAATACAAAAAAAAGCCAATAAAAAAAAAATTATAGCCACAACAAAACACTTCAAATAGGTCACTTGAGGACGAGTTGAAGAACTTAACATTTTTGCAACTGACACATATTTCTTGACTGGAAAATTTGTTTGTTTTTTAGGTTGCTCAAACATTTAAAACTAAAACCAAACACAAATGCTGATCAGATTTTGACCATCGAGGTCAAGAACTGAGCCTGTTCTGTCTGAAAACAGCCAGTACAGTACTCTTTAATGCATAGCGGAAATTCAGTGAAGACGTCACTGCTGGTGGTTCTACAGTTAAACAATCCAAACTGTCCTCACGCGTTCTACCTGAGCTTCCGTGATTAAAGGGTTGCCAGATGAATGACGGGTGGACCCTCATTTCATTTGGATTCTGAACTAGTCTCAGCAGGGGAATCTATTTCAGGGATCAATACTTCACAATCTTACAACTTTTCAATTTACCAGTTTATAAGATGTTAGCACACGGAGCGGTCATTGAAGAGAAAAATAAAGGAGAGCTAACACCTGAAACGTAAAAGTAGCATGTTGTGTCGCTTACCTTCATGACTACTGCTATCATCGCTAAGGGCAAATATTCTCCCATGTGCTCCAGTCAGCAAAGTTGCACCGCTGTGCACTTTTGGGGCTGCACAGATCCCTCAAATCGACTTTTTAAGTGTGTCACTTGCGCGCTTTTGTGGAATGTACGCACTCACTGTGGGGTGACCCTCAAATGAGCGCTTTCCCCGTCAAATCTGGCATGGCACGCATTATCCCAGACACTTAAGCATCTTTTCTCTCCCGCGCTCTGGAAGCCGTAGTAAGTCAAGCACCACTTGAAGGTGAAACATTGGTAGTGCACGCTCTGATTCAATTGGTGCTTCGCTGCTGATGAACGAATGACCGCGCTGCTGCTGACTAGTGGTGGCGGCTTGGGAGTTTGTCTGAAAGTGCTGTTTCACAACTGCAGTGATTGTAATGGTGGCGATGAGGGGTTAAGATTTTGAATCATTTGTATTCGGCTCACTCGCTTTTCGACTGATGTAACAGCTTCAAACATACATTCAGTTATGAGCACGGTACGCTCATCAAACGACTTTTATTTTATTTATTCAATGCAGAATGCAAATGCACATGGCCCTCAGAGGAGAATGTTAGCTGAGCTGTGCGCACATCACTAATGTTGATTAATATCTCTTCCGGATTCACTACGCGAGTTCATTTCGCAACCAAACTGGGAAATTTTCAAAATGGATCTCTTTGGAATTCACGTTTCACATAAACGCCACAATCTGGAAATTTAGTCCACCCTTAAGACTTGACTGAATCAAAAAAAAAAAAAACGTGCGAATGGGAGAATATTGCCCCTAGGTTACCATTTTATTTTCTGTGGTTACCAATTTTCTATTAAGCCACATGTTCAACTTGTAGGACAGTTCAGTTTACCATAGTAGTGCTCAGACTGGGTAAGGCTATCGGATTCCCAACAGCTGTGCAGTAAATAAAGTGACATCATACCATCGAGATGGCGTGCATTAACAAGGCATAGTGCAGAGTGTTAAGCGTCTGTCAACAACAGCTTTTTAGGCTTTTTTTTTTTTTGCTGACAGTTCCACCCACCCCAAGAGACCTATCATTAAGACCAACACCCCTACAAAGAGATAAAAAAAAATTAGATCTGTCAAATAATATAGGACTCCTTATAATGAAAAGGTAATAAAATGCGTGCCTCTGAACAGAAGCAAAGGCTTTTGGGTAATCATTGCATCATATAATGAGTGATTCAAGGTAAGGACTGGGACACGAGGGAGCTCAGCTGACACAGAGTTGCTTTCTATTGTTTCACCAACTTTTCGGGTTCTGGATTTTTGCTCTCCTTTCTGATCATATTTTCTTAATAAGTGTTTTTTTTTGTTTTTTTTTTAAACCACATGAGGACGATCCACTGTACTATCGCAGCTGAGATGGCTTCCACGAAAAACACCAATCTTGAGTTTCCGAGCGCAACTCCATAGCAATTCATCCACCAGCTGTGACTCAGGCCCAGTTTGATTTGTAAAGAAGTGGGTAGATCAAGTTGAGCATAAGGGCAAACACGGCAGCCAGGGTTCCCAGAACAAAATATCGCGCACGATCGTCGTCAGGACAATCTGACATCCTCCCCGTGTGTTGACGGTGCCCTTCTGCTCTGTCCTCATCTTCCTCATGTCTTGTCCTCGGGGCTTGTCGCCGTCGCAGCCCCGAGAGGAAAGGTCTGCGCGGAGCTTCATCATGACCCTCCTCGTCCTCTTCCAGTTCCCGCCATATTAGAGAGGCCTGCGATTGGCGGAAACCGGTGTCAACTTCTGGGAAAAGGCGTGGTCTAAAAAAAATACTGCCATTATGGTATTGAGTTGGAATTGCTGCTTTCATTTGAGATGGGCAATTCCCCGCGGAGTCACAGAAATCAAAGCTCAATTATTTTAAAACAGCAGAAAATACTTCAGTATGCAGATGTTTGAAAGAATAATTTGAAATACAATTGAAATAAAGAAATAAGATGAACTGTAGCTAGGATAGACAGAACAGAAAGGGAGTGAGGCCTGAGTATCCAAGGTTGGCCTCGTCACTTTCAAACACAAGAATCAACTGTAACAGAGAGATGATCTTCAGCTTACTGATTCTTGCTTACAAATTTCTCTGTCAATGTATGTGAGTGCAGAGTGAATTCAGTCCAGGAGCTATGCACCATCCGCAGAGTTACGTGTGCACTAACTTTAACAGAGTGGTGAAGGTTGTTCTGTAGGGTCGGTATTGGGCCTGGGCAATTCATTGAAATTTCATCGTGACTATGATTTTGGCTTCCCTCGATTTTTAAAAACATCATCATCAAAGACAAACGATTGATGTGCCGGTTTCCGTGCAAGTTCTCGACTTTGTGACGGTACCCTTGGATGCACCAATCGTGTCACAAAATGCAATTCTGCCCTCCCTGAGCGTGCTTTAAACTGTTTAATGACACACAGTTGGGAGTTGATTGTACAAATGAATAGATACTGTAGCAAAAAGAATGACACAGATTCTGTGCATAAATACAAGATATGCTTCGCGGAAAAGAATAAATAAAATCATCACCAGCGCTAATGCTAAAGTCAATTGAAAATCCCATAGACATGCTGACGGCAAATTATTAGACTTCGGGGAGTGACATTTCTTCAAATAAATATTCACTCACAAACAGTGTAGCAGCACAAACATAGCAAGAATAGAACAATACTCAAAAGGTACATATTCTTACCAATTGGCAAAAAATGAGTTATTTCATGGAGCTCGGGTTTAATTTGCTTCTTCTACTTTTATGTCATTTTAAGTGTGTAAAACAAGTTCTTATTCCACAACTGACCAAAACCTTCATGATCAAAATAAATATACCCAGAGCAATTACCTAGTTGAGGGCCGAGCAACGTGGCTACTCATGTGGTGCCCACAGGCCTGTTCTGAAAGTATCTCACCATTGATGAGCCATTGAGATTTCTCACGAATGTTGGAGAAGAGATAATTTGAAAATATTCACCCTTGCAGAGAGCAAGAGAAAAACAGCGCTGCATATTGACATGAATCTGTTTCTGACATTGTTCAATCATTGTTGATAACATGTTCAAAGTCTTCACAAAGAAGGAATTCATGAATTATGAATAATACAAAGTTAAATGTTATAATAATTGAATCAAACTTCAGAAGTGTGTATTAAACCGGTAGCCCTTCACATTAATCAAGACCCAAACAGTAGGTTGGTGACCCCTGACCTAATTCATAAAAACCCTCTCAACTCTCAACTAAACTAGTTTAGTTTCAGTTGCTAGTGTCATCCAATCGGATGAGAGCAACGGGACTGAAAATGGTTCACACACATACAAAAGACGCTTTCATCCTGACACTCGGAACACCATGATCTAATTCTTTCAGCATCACAGGGTCATTGTGCAGCATGAACAATTCAACTTGTCGAAAAACATCACGTCAAAGGAAAACGTGATGAAAAATGTTGAAAGCAACGGTGTCAAGATACATTCAGCATACACATTAGTGCCATATGATATTAGCAAAAACCCCACAGACAGACTGTTAAAAGATGATATGCAGCGCAATGAGGCTCCCAAACAGGAGGCGAGTTCTTCATGAAAGTTGACCCGAGTGTTATCTCAAGATTTCAACAATTAATCCTAAAAATGTGAGGAAATCCCAATTGTAGATCAGATAGAATGCGTGAATATGGCACTGTTGTGCAGGATGTTTGATTAAGTGCAACCCATCCAGTCTGTAATAGCCATATATAGTACAGCAGAAAGCATGAAACAACACCATTTCCCATAAAACTCCAAATTTTTCACTGCACATCACATTTTTGATGGACATGAAGATCTCAAATCACAATTTAGAAGAATGCCGAGAATGTCTTGTGATATTATAACACAGCATCCACAAAGGCTTGTTGCGGTGCCCTCACCTGACTGGCAGTAGCTCCCATTGCAGGGGCAGAGTCCGCTCCGACGGGTCTGAGGAAGCGCGGCGGCCGTTCCACGGGGGAATTTCGACGACGGTAGAAAAGGACGTAGGCGTATCGTGTCACCACCTGGCTCTCCTCCACCATCGTGACAGTGCTGTCATCAAACAGACGCCAGCCTGTGCGAGGACAGACATCATGTTGGAAACAAGGACTAAAAGAGCGCAATTTCATATTTTCTGGTACATCATAAAAAAAGGAACTCACCAACATCACTACGCTGGCTATTTCTGTCACTTGGCAGGCGAGCGTAGGCGGTGTAGTGGCCACCGATCATCCCACCATAGTGGTTGATGACTGCATACAGGTCGTAGATAGGTGGGTGCTGCATCTCATCCTTCTGACCAATGCAGAAGTTACTCAGATCCAGATTTCTACAAGACAAAAATGTTTTGGAACTGATCAACATTGCACACAGGTATTACATATTAAAAAAAAAAACAAACAAAAAAAACTCATTCAATAGGCATTCACCTGACAGGAAAGTCAACCATGTCATTAATCTTGTCTCTCCAGATGAAACTCCTGAAACTGAAGCGTTTCAGTTGGATGATCAAAATGTTGGGAAGACGCCACAGAAGCAGTTGTTTGGAAGCCTCGCGGTGCTGCTGGCACTTTGGACAGTACCTTTGGAGGGGGAAACAAAGCATCATGCAGCTTACGCTCACCATCATAAGACCAAAAGTGATCAGAGCTCTATGGAGTGTTCGCATTGCAATAAAGGGGAATTCTCAGACAGGATGATGATTTTTAAAATGGACTTTTTTCAGATTAATTTACACAGATCATGAAACGAATGGGTTTAAATTTGTCATAATGTAGGTGTGGCAATTTTGCTTATAAAAGAAAAAAAAGGGCCTCTGCTAAAAAGTGCTTGCAATGTAATTTGCTGCCCAAATTTTTTTCTTGAGCAAACATGAGAATTTAGCCTGTCCTGAAGGGCAGACGTTTATTTTAAAGACAGAAGAATATCCTGCCTCTATTTTGATACCTTTTAAGATCACAAAATGACCTTGGCCAAAAGAAACCAACTACTTCTTGGCGCATTTTTTTTGTCTCCGTTATTTCCCAAGATGTAAAATGCAACTAAGATCCAGTAAATAGTGAAATGTGAAAATACACACACATTAACTACCTCGTGGCAATATGGACAGCCTTACCATGCCTCTTCTGGTGCCAGCACCTCTGGCTTAGTGAAGAGGTTGAGGCACTGCTCCAGGGTGAAGTGCCCCGCCCTGGCTGTCTCACTCAAAGAACTGGGATCCTCCTCATAGTCCAGCTCCTTTGCGCTCACCAGGACATACTCCTTTAGACGCTCGTTGTTTTTCCACACCAGCTCCACGGTTGCATCGTCAGGTAGGTCGATCAGACTATCTTCTGCAGAATGGGACGCAATCCAATTCAATTCTAGAGTTGCCAATCTGCATCGGTCTCTTTCAATCATAAAGAAAAAGTGAATTTGCAGAAAAAGATGGTCCCGACACCCGACCTTTCTCGTCCAGTCTCTGCTCCTTGTTGTTTGAATCCAGCAGAATGATGTAGAACTGACCAGCATGCCCCGAAGATGGATCATTAGGTTGTTGATACCCGGCTACTGCGGCTAGAAAATAGGATAAATAAGAATGACAGAAAATAACTATGGATATCATGTTTGAATAAACGAACAACAAAAAAACACCCGTCACCTTCTGGCCGTACTGCCTTCTCACAAGACGTTTCTTTTTCAACATGGGTGTCCAGAGAGCAGCAGGAAGGAGAGGAGATGGACTCTGAGAACCCAGAGTCTGACGTCTGTGTGGTGGAGAGAGACGTCTGGGGGGAAGTAGGGCGAATAGCATCACCAGAATCATGGGATGAGGTATAGGTGTGTGGTTTCGGGGGGTCAAGCATCGGAGTGCTATTCTTGGGTCCGCAGTCAGTTAATTCTGGAGTAATGCTTCCGCCCATGGCCTCATCTCCTGAGCCTGGATCACCAAGAGAACCTGCTGGTGGTGTCGGGAGTGCTGGAGATATTTCGGGGGATGTCCTCTCTGACTGGAAAGGAGGCTGGAACACATTGACTGAAAACCTGCACAAGAATAAGAGGGACAGCATTTAAATATATCACGCAGTGGGACACAACTAATAATTGGCTACCTAATCCAGTACAGTGTAGCCTCGTGGCAGTAGAAGACCGGATATCTACGTTCTGTCTTGAAAATTCCATTCAAATACACAAGAGCATGGATTCAACTGTAATTATGTAATCAATTGTGGAACCTGGAAGTTGTTGTTTCACATTTCAAATCCTTTCATAATGAAATTGGCGGGTTGAGATCCTTGATTCGAGATTTAGAATTTGTATACACACAAAATGTTTCCATGTTCTAAATATAACTGGCAATGTTCTGCACAAAAAAAATCTATTTGGTGGGAAAAAGTACTCAAAAAATGCAATGTTTTTTTGTTTTTTTGTCGTTTCATGCCAGTAGGATGGATCGATTATTTCATTTTTCCAAACGAAATTCAAACGATGGCTTCTGCAATATCACTATCCACCAAGAGTAGGCAGACATGCACTTGTGCTACCCCTAAGGTAGGGGAAACTTATAACTGTATGTCAAGTACTTGTCTTAATAATCAATGTGTACCAATGGCTGCATTTTGTATGATGAGATTCTAAGAGTTTGACTTTGTACCTGGAATAGCCATGCAGGAGCTGAGTGAGGCGGCTATAGGAGAGCCGGGATTCGGGTACACTAACCAGGAATGGCAGGCCCACATTTTCGGTATTGGGTCGACACTGACCTTTGTGATTCGGCCAGTGGGTCTTTTGACACAATCTGTCAGGGGAAAAGAAAGCACAACAATGAAATTAGCAACTGCAGTATGAGTTGGACGTTTAACGTATGATGTGCCACCGCATTAAAACACAGCTCACTGATTGCAGTAGCCGACACTGTAACAGCGAGTACAGCGCTTCAGTTTATCTTCCTCTGAGACTGGAGGCTTTAGGCAGGAGGCACACTTTGAGATGGCGATATTGGGAACCTGCAGTCTCTGTTGGGGGGAAAAAAATAAATAAACAAATTGAATCATCATTTGACGCTGCAAGACATATTTTCAACTGAACTTGGATATCCGTGTTACCTGCTGCACTCGGAGCAACACTACTCTCTCCTTGGCCAGATCTTTGGAGAGTATCTCAAAGCAGAACAACATGTCTGAGGACGACACGGTGTCCAGGGAATGAGAGGGCAAAAACATTCGCTGGAAGCAGTTCTTCCCCACCTGAGTCAAATGAAACAAGCTCAGCGCGAGCTGACACGAAACTTGTGCCACCAATTAAACTTGGAATAAAAAAAGGCATTTGACCTCTGCAAGTCTGAGGTTCTCAGCCTTGACCCGAACACTCCTGGAGATGGACTCAAGGACTTCTGCAGTGCTAGAGTTCTCCTTGCTCACACTCACCAAAAACTGGCACATGAATATGGGTAAATATTCACTCTGAGACATCTTTGTCCCTTTTTGACAGGAAATTAGTCTTGAATCTCACCTTAATGGGTTTTTTATGTGGTTCCTTGGCAAAGTAGAAAACTGACAACACCTTTTGTTTCTGTGGCAATGGGACAGGCAAGTACAGGAAGGGGTCGAATGTTATAGACACCTGAAGGACGAGAGGAGAAGACGACGATTACCGATGAGTGGCTGCTACCTTAAATCCAGATGTGAAAAGTGTCATATGTTACCTTGGAGCACGTGGGACAAACCAGCTTGGATTTGAACTGGCCTTGGAAGAGATCTACGATGAATGAGTCGTTTCTCATCTTGTGCCTCTGCCATGCCTCCTCTGCCACCACCTTTGACAAATAACAAATATTCAACCAAGTTTCAACAAAATCTGCTATCAGTGTCATTTCAATGCTTTCCATATCTATGTAAATAAACATGTTCAGCAAGAAGGGGCGACACGTCATCATGAACTACCACAGAGCACGCCAGCCCTTTTCCTGAACACCAACCTCGTCCAAGCGACCATCGGAGTCCACCGTCTCCGTGTATGGCTTATTCTGAATGCGATTCAAGTCCTCGTGGAGGCCGTCAAGCAAAAAGGCCATGAATTCCTGGGCATCGTGCTGGGCATAGCCTGTAAACTGATTGGCTTTACTGGCCACAATTGCCTGCAAAGTGAAGTTCAATTAAAAGCATGACAAAAAAGCGGTAGGAGCATATGGATTGGTACATGTAAATGGCATGCATACCTTGAGCTTTGAGGGTTGGAAGGCATGGTGGGTTCCTTTCCAAAGAGCCCTGAGCAGCACCGCAAAGCCAATGGCTAGCCGGCCTCCTGTTCCCAGTGGATTATTGCAATTGATTTCTGACTCAAACGCGCGATCTAAAAGAGGACAAAGAGAGGAAAATTGGTTTGGGATAGACAACCATACAGTGGCAACATTTCAACTCATACTCTTGGGATGAATGTGTGATTAAGAAGTGGCATTGCATTGTGACAGAGGGTTTCCTCAACGGGTTTTCAATTGGGAGGGGTGTCAAGCAGAAAGGTATTTTTTTTTAGTGAAAAGAAGTTGGCGTTCCGTACCCTTCGAGAAGGGTTACGGGTGCGGCTCACGTCTTTATTTACCATGAAAGTAATCCCTGAGTTCTCGGGTGTTGGACAGGGATTGAATGACACTGTTCATGAAGCAGGTGTTTCCGAGGTTTACCAATCCTGTGAAACCAGGCAGGCACACCTTCTTCTCCTCCTCTTCCTCATGGCGCTCATTACTAACAGGGGGCGCGTGGGTCATGGGCTGCACCATGCATGTTGGCTTAGGCTATGATTGGAAACAAAACACAATCACAACAAAATGGAACGGTTTCATGTGCTTTAAAAATGGTTCATCATTCTGACCCAACAAACACACACAAAAAGTTGCATTTTCCTATTTACCGTCAGAACAGTGGGCTCTGGCTTAGGGATGGCCACGTGGTCAGAGACTGTGCGAGGAGCCACAGTATCCAGACCGCTATCCTCCACTCTGGGTGGGGCTTTAGGGGCTTTTGGTTGCTCCTCACTGACCCTGGGGGGCTCCTCCTTGCTCGGCAGGCTGTGCTGACTGCTGCCAGGTTTGCTCTTTTCTGTGCAGGCGGGGCTCGAGGGCACAGCCACCTTGGCGCCACCCACTGCACCTTAAACAGAGGAGAATGGCCCTTGTGGTTAGAAAAGGAGGTGATGTTCAGATTTCAAAAGGCAATAATTAAGCTGAATATTGTAATGCAATTTCTAATACTACCATGAGGCAATTTGAAAATGTGTTGAAGTTAGTTACATATTAAACCATTTTCAAGATGGATTCAGTTGCAAACAGCTTTGTTTAAGCCATTTTTTAATATATTCAGTGCAACCAGCTAAAAATAATGCAAACTTCATGAAGCTACCAAAGCAGAATGTTACTCTTATCTACGTTGTCCATGTTTGGCTGAGACATGGGACAACATTAAACATAATGAAAAAGGCCCACATTGTCAAGTAGAAGCTTGGCATCAGACCTTGTGTGGCGGGGGCCTCGAGACCCTCCCAGCGTTGGCTGTGTCGCTTCTTCAGCGTAATGTCCACTCGGGATACGGTGAAGGAGTAGGAGCACTGCTCAGGCTGTATCAGGTTCCTGCAGCAGGCAAGGGGCAAACAAATATGGACACGTCAGATTGAGAGACAGAGATTTGACGAACACTGCGCGATGTCAGTTTGAAGATGAAAGGCATTGTACAGTCAACTCCAGAGATGGGCGCCTCAATAGATTTTGCCGTTCCGTCATTCATCTGCGGCCGGCTGCAAACACAGCTTAAGAAATTGAATACTGAGTGACTAAAATCGGATAGAGTATATCACTTCTTATTTGTTATGCTTATGTAGGGTGTTGTATCTTCATCCCTTGGAGGGAGAATAAACTCAAAATTAAAGGAAAAAAAATACAAATATATGCGCTGTTAAGAGTAAAACAGTATCCTTGATGTTAATGTGAAGTCAGCAACGTGGGCTTTGTTTTTTCACCTGTTTTAGTTGTGATTCATCAACTTCTTGAATGCAGGAAATGCTTTCCAAAGTAATACTTCACCACAGCAAGCAATACTAATGTTATTTTAAGACATAGCAATAAATAAATAAATTTTAAAAAACAAGAAAAGCATCATTGCCATTTCAAGGATGGAAAGGTTACCTGAGTTTTACTTGCCACTTGAACACTGTGTTTGGTCCACAGTCCGGGTGAAGCCGAAGAAAGTTTGCATCACTATCCAAAGGAAGATGATGACACACACAGAGCTTTGTCATTGTTTGGAAAATGAGCTTATAATTTAGCAGAAAAAGGAGGAGGCAACACTACGTTGGAAGGCTTTCTTTCCAGTACCTTGTCTGGAAGATGAGGGTGAAATCCTGCTCCCTGAAAATGACCCTCGATGTGTTCCTGCAGATGCCCTTCATGTAGACGTTCACGACCATCAAGTCTGTGCCTTTCTCGTACGAGTCATTCTTCACATATTGCAGGTTTACCATCGGCTCTGGCTCTACGGTGAAGTCATGCGCATCATTACAATGATTTTAGACGACCAGAAAAGAAAAAAAAAAAAAAAAAAAAAACAGACAGAGCCAGGGAGACTCGATATTGCCAAGACAAACCTTCCTGTTGCTTTATGGGGGGTGGCTCCTCTTTGGACTGGTCACGCTTCTCCTCGCCATCACAGCTACCTTCAATCTGGGTCAGACCTGTTGATGGCTCTTGTTCGGCAGACACATCTCGAGAGGAAACCGGGGTGGCCCCTCTCGAACCGAGATGTTGGTGAGTTTGAGTGTCCCGCACCGATTGCTGAAGCTGAACCGTTTTCTCCGGTTCGGCATTCGTGATGTCTGTGCTCCTTTCTGGAAAGGCTGAGTCAAGATGGTTGTTGAAGCCTGACGTTTTCAGGGAGTCACTCGCGCTCACAGGAACTGCTGGTTGGTTTTCACTGGCCCCAGTTTCAGAGCCTCTGTCCTGTGTGTCTGGAGAGTCATATGGTTTATCTGCCTCCTAAACAGACAACACAACAAAATTCAACAGTACTGAATTTTATTTCAAAAACCACAGCTTAAAGTGCTTTACATAAATAAAACTTAAAACAGAAAACAATTATACATAAACATATTAAAGTTAAAACCAGGAAAAACCAAACGCTACAGGGCTAAGTCTCGTGCTGAGTTGAACGCCAAGGAATAAAAAATAGGGTTTAAAACTTACTGTAGCTTTCATACTGGTGTAATGACTGTGTGCTGCTCAACGTCAGTGAAACAAACATGCTTTAACAAGTGATAAATTATCGACAAGTGTTTTTACTAACCTGAACCTTGTTCGCGACAGCAACAGCGCTCCCATGTACATGTTCACAAACTAATCTGTCTAAAATCTTGTCTCCATCTCTGTGTGGCGTTTGAGGGAGGTCGGCAGCAGGCAGGCGTGCATAAGAGGTTCTAGTCTGGGCTGAGTCCATGTCTCTTTCAGTAGAAGACTTGTCCTCCTTGGCGTTCCTGGTAAGATGTGCACTGGTGCGCTTCGCACTGGGCTCTCGGGACTGCTGGTTGCCTTTCTTAATGGGGACCGGCTTAGGTGAAGCGCCTGCGCCGTCCCCGCCGCCAAAAGTCGCCGCCGCAGAGTCCGTGGAGGTTTTGTCAGATGGTTGTTTGTGTTTCAGGTGGCGCTTGACGGCACGCTCGGCTTTGCTGCCGCTGCATCTTGATGCGTTGCGTGAGGGGGAGGAGGGAGCCTGAGATTGACGTTGCGTCAGCGGGGAGGACAACTTGAGATGCTCTGGTGACTCTGAGGCTACAGTCCTCGTTGCCGGCGCCTTGGCATTTTTTGTCTCAATGGGTCCCACTTCTTTCTCCTTCTTGTTGGACTTAAACACGACAAAGGAAAAAGTTGTCATCAAACAGACTGCGACATGGGTGGGAGTCAAATACAAAACATCGCATGATAATCAACTTTTAACAAAAGTTTAAAATGAATTGTCGACTGACTTTTAATGAAGGCCAAATGTGAATCGGGATCTTCTTGTGCAGGATGAGCAACAGAAATCCTCCCTTCTCTTTGTATTGCACCCTACTACAAGAGGCCTCGATTTCCTCCTGCAAGTGGCAGGTCCACTCACGACCATCTGAAAACAGAAACACAACAGATGTGCAAAACTTTAACTAAATGGAAATGTATGCTTCTGGAGCAATATTTTATGTCTACAAGTAGATAGAAGAGGCATATCAGGATATAGATGTAGAATGAACACAAATTCAATATTTTCTCTGCGTACGATTTCCTTATGAGTACATGGAAGCTTCTGGGGTTAATCAAATATTGTTCATGTGACGTGCAGGTGACTTTACCTGAGAAGTGCACATGACAGTGCGTATCAGTGAAGGTTGTGTTGACATCCTCAATCTTTTGCACACTTTCCCCACAGCGCAACTTGATAATCACTTCATTGGCATTTTGTTTCCAATCCACAAAGACATCTAAAAGCAGAAAAAAAAAATCATTGTAAAATGTGGTCGGATTAATTCTTTCATATTTTATTATTTTAATGCACTTTCCATGTAAAATGTGTTTTATAAATAAACCGAGTTGAGGAAATTGCCATTTATTTGAAATAAATATTGGGAGTAATATCGTAATCGGGGAGTAAAATAAATTATCGGGATTTCAAATTGTTTCCCGAATGCACAGCAATTACTCAATGGGTAACTTAAAGACACAGCAGGTTACACACTTTTGTGCTCCAAATTGTGATCTTAGGTGCTTGTAATTGTGGCACAAGTCAAACATCACAACGTAGCCTCTGCCAACAGCATGCAGAATGCCACGGTTGGGGTTTACTTCTTGATTTTTTTTAAATACTGAATTGCAGCCCAGCCCTAACACCCAGTCGGGCTCTGGGATCTGCAGACTTGGGTCAATTTGCTGAGCTCAGAGTTCAAAGTAAACATGGTGAAGCTGTATTGAGTTGTTATGCTGCAGACAAACACAATAAGCTGCTAACAGAAGTGAAGTCAGCCTAGAGTGCAACTGTTTTGAAATTAAAATTAAACATTTTACTTTTTTTCCCTTCTATACGATTGATTAAGGTCTTTGAATCTTTTTTTTTCCGAAAACCCTTTTTTGTCTGTCTTTCTTGACTTTAAAATTTGTTGTTTTTTAACGTTTTCTGTTAATATGTTGAAATGTATTGTACATTCTTTTCGCGAGATTTTGGTCAGCTACTTTTGTTTTCTCTGCTTTGCTTTTGAATGTTAATTGTTCTGTTTGTAAAAGCTTTTTGGGTGTGCGTCTGCATGTGTGAAGCACACCGAATTACCTTGTGTATTGTTTTCTATGCTATATAAATAAAGCTGCCTTGCCTTGCCTAATGACAACCAGTCTGGTTCCACCCTAAGGTTTGGGCCAACTGATAGAAAAAGACAATGTGGATGGAGTTCAGCCGTCTGCTAATGCTGTCAGGCCCGCCATGACCGTGGTCGGCTACTTTTTCAACCCATTTAGGCTGCAGACCGGTAGGGTATGAATTACTTGCACCCTCTGCTGGTTGCTCCCATGTAGTGAAATCCCTTATTTTGTCCCCATGACATCTGTCATGGGGACTTGTTAATACGACTGTTACATTAATGGTATAGGCTCAAGTCTTGACTAGCGAGCCTCCTTCTGGTTGGTACAATGTCAACAGTTTAAGAAGAAACTGCATTCTGATTCTCCAGCTTGTGTAGAAGGAATCCACTCAAAACACTTTGCCCGGGTGAATTTTCAATCAGCGATCAAAACAAGACGTGAATTCATTCGTGCTGCTTTGTGAAACGCACTCCATGAAGCTCTGTGCATGAAACCGATAGGATTAGAACAGCAGTATCAGGTTGGATACAAATAAACAATTACCCGACAAATCACAGCCATGAGGTACACCTGCTCACACACATTCAGGCCCTGCCACTACACTTGCATGCACACGCTGTGACACCGAGTGTAATGAAGGCAGAAATGACAGAAAGAAACAGCCAACTGCCTGTGCTGCAATATTTTATGCCGTCTAAATAGACATTAACCATGCACATATTTCAAACAGACAAAATGCGGTATCATATCCAACAGAAACTTCTGGATCACGGAAAATAAGGAGAAAAGTTATTTACCGTTTTCCATGTGACAAAGCTGTGGAAGTGATATGAGCTAAATATAGTATCCGAAGCCGCAGTTTTGAGTGTGCTCCTCTGCTTATTTAGTCTGCAACACAACTAAACAGCCGCGACTTTCATTCCCCCACCACCCGCTCTTTCTCCCTTTCTCTCTCGCCCTCTAAATGTCAGGAACAACACTCTATCCTTTTAGGATGGCTGCAATGTCTAATGTCACATCAAATTTCTGGTCATGCAATACACACACACACACACACACACACGCCGGTACATGCGGCACATGCAATTAAACGGAGAAAAGTAGCGGCATAGGTCAAATAAAAACTCCTTTATGATTGAAAGTGAACGAACAATACTGTAATCTGTCTACAATCTTTTGGAGGACAAATCCGCAATCAGTGTGTTTTATGGGAAGAGTTGGGAGGCAGGCTCCTTCCCTAATACCTTTGAACATACTATTAATGTTATATACATTTAGCTGCAATAATTAAAAAAAAAAAAGGGGGGGGGGGTTGCCGTCTTCAGCAAAAGCAGTTGAATTAACTGCAAAGCCTCTAAATTAGTTATTAGAAGAGCAGCAGGAGGGAGCGCTTTCGTATTAAGTTGCATGCTCACACGCTACCACGTCATCATAATGAACACATCACAAGAAATGCATCTTCATAACAAGAAACAACCGTGATATTCTCTTTACTTTATTCACGTAACTTCAGAAATTTTTTTCCCAATCTCTTTTCACTGAAAATGGCTGCAAATCCTTAGCAATTAATGCTCCCACTGCACGGGTTATTATCCAACATTTATCTTCCGTGGCAGCGTCTGTGTGCTCACATGGACTTATAAGTTCAATGCACAGCTATTAATGTTGCTTTGCCTCACCCACTAACACAACTGGCACACTTTGATAGCACGTCTACGTGGTTTTTCACACCAGACATCACGACAGCTCATATCGCATACATGCGGCTTACTTGCGCCACAACATGAATTTACAGCAACATAAGACGCAATACAGGACCACCATTTTACCTTTGGCCACAATGTGACATGGGGTTTTAGTTAAAGTAAGCCATTTTAAACTAAAAAGAAAAACATTTCCATAGTTAGAAGAGGAAGTTCCCTCCAACCATAACTCGTTTGCTTCTGTCGACACGGGGTGTGTTCACAATTTCACTTTGTGACACCCTAAATCCACTCTGAAAGTATGTGTGTTCGGAGAGAGAGAGAGCGCTCTCCTGCTATTAATTTCCAAATGCAGCCTATGTTATAAACCAATCTGCATCTTGTGCTTGAACTGTTTCCATCTGTACTGCCTGACGCACTGGGCGCTCCACCACTCCTTTTTCTGGGGCACTCTGATGAACCAAACGGCACATTTGAACCACACTATGAGTGCGGGTTCGGAGTGTATTTCAGGACACACCCATTAGGGTAACGGGTGACTCAGTCTAAGCACTACTGTTTGTGGTCTTGGTTTTTGTAAGAGACATAAAAAAAAAAAAATTTGACTTATACCCTGGATTGACTTATGCTTTGTTCTTCTTCATTATGTATTTTATGACTGGTCAACTTATTATCCCGAGCAATTTATCGTCCAAAAAATTAAGTGCAACCAGTTTTTAAATTGCCAGTTTGAAAGTGTCTGTACTGAAAACTAAGGTAACTATAAAGCAATCCAACATTTGTATTGCAGAAAGTCAATATTGAACACAAAAAAAGGTGAAGAAAGACACTCAACAGTCCAACAAATGCAGAACGTTTTAAAATAACAAAAAAAAAAAAAACAGAACTCCCAGGCTTAATGAGTATGCCTTGAAACATGAACATATTTTAAAAGTTATTAAAAGCAGGTCTGCCTCACAGTGCAGAGGACATGGGTTTGAATCTGGCTCTGGCCTTCCTATGTGGAGTTGGCATGTTCTCCCCGTGCCTGTGAGTTTTCTCCGGGTACTCCTCCGACATTCCAAAAACATGCATGTTAGGTTGATTGGACACTCTAAAACTTAAGTCAAAATGGCTGTGTCCGAATTCACGGGCTGGGTCCTCAAAAGCCGCATTTTCAGCCGCATTTGGTGTTCAAATTCACATTAAGCCTGTCCAAATTTGCCGCGGTTTATGCGATCCACTGAGGCTTGACCTGACTCAGTTTTTAACATTCATTGAAAGTTTATTGTATTTTTACTGTAGTATAATTAGTGTGTTTTTTTTAAATATACTGGCCGACTTACCCTTTTTGACCTCTGCAAGGACTCCATCCACTCCTGCAGCAGCAGCAGCTCTCTTGGCCTCTCTGGACTCCTGGTTCGCTCGGTCTTTCTGCTTCTTCTTACTGGCACTGGAGGACAGCTCGGACCCATGGTCACCTCCTCCCCTCTGCTGATTCTGAACCCCACTGCGTCGGCCCGCGGCCCCGTTACCACTGCCGCTGGACATCTTCAGACACTTGGCGCTAAGGGGCCGCCCGTCACCGGATTCACTACCGCTGCTGGGGTCTGGATCTGAGGTGTGCCGCTTCCTGCCTGGCCCAGCTATCTTGGCGATGATATTGGTCCGCCTCTCTCAAAACACAATCAGGAAGGGGAATAGGGAAGGGAACCTAAGGCACCGAGGAGAGGAACATGAAAAAAATAATGCAATTAATGAATCAGTACCCATGACCGTTAAGTATGACAGTCTGCACGATCTACTCGGGGTTGGACAAATATTACAGTGGATGTAAAAAGTCAATCTGAGGCACTTTTCTTTAATAGTGGCTGGTGTGTGTTGAGTCCCATTAACCATGAATTTGAATGAAATGATTAATGAATACTGAACATAGCCACATTCCAAGTGACAAGTTGGTCTGCAAACTTGTTCCACCACAGGATTGCAGACGTGTATTTTTAACTTTGCCTACACTCATCGTACGAATTGTACACTACTTTCCTCTCTAGAAACATGAGTGAGAATTTAGATCAATCTCTCCCCATAAATTTGGGAATATGAGGAGAAGTGTCGTCAGAAGCTCAGTAGCGATTTTGCCGGTTAAAACAACACACTGAATAAAGCTTATTTTCTTAAAAAGTGATCAGTTGAAACTGCAACTGTGTCGGGCTGTCATTATCGAAATGTGCAGAGTCATTTAGGTCCACTGAGCACTGCCAGCCCTGGTAGAGCTGGGACCACTGCTAGCGCCGTTGAATAGCGTGTCAGTGTAATTAAGACTTTTTTTTCCTTTGTTGCGCCCTTAATTAGTGATTGAATGTTATTGCAGGACAATGTTGTGTTGTTGTCATCGGGAACTGGAGTTTGTGACAGCAATAAAGACGCCCCAAACAACAGTCTGTAAAACAAGTCAAGTCAGTTGTTACGCCATGACACGCTGTCGGGGAAACCTTCAAAATAAAAGCAAATGAAGGTGTTGATGTCCTATTACAGTACAGTATTTGGTTTATTTTGAAGTAGGCCTTTTTAGTGTGTTGGCAGCATGTTACTGTCATGTATAACATGAACAACTATTGCTGCAGTTAGCATGATTTCTTCCTGAGAGTGTACACGTAAATCAGTGGGAACTCGAGCCAGGGAAAAAAAATGTATCGAGCTGTTTTTTTTTTTAACCTGTGTACACAAATTATTCGAGGACCTGTTTTATTCCTTTCCACATAATTTCATGTGACTTCTCACATCACGCAAGACCTCATCACTACGCGCGAGTAGTCTAAACTTGAAACACCATGGCAGAAGCACTGATTTCAGCATCAACAAGCTGAAGGGCAGATATCAGGAAGATTTTTGGTTTCAGAAAACAAAGACCGCAATTAACTGAAACTATGTGAGACAGTCACGGGAATGTGAGAATCATGGGTTTTAAATGTCTTTTTGGCACTTTATTTACACAGGCTGCCCTGTGTTTGGAATTAATGTATTTATTTTGATTAGGTAGCATTCAATAAAACATACATGATTCATGGAACTGAATTCGGTTCAATTCTTAATGTAAACATTCACATTTTTACTAATACACCAAGTTAGAGAAAAGTCGTTCCTACTATTTACAGCATTGCTTCTGAGAATGTATTCCATATGAAACTAAAATTGGCACTTCCTGAAATCCTGAAGTGACTCAAAAATCTAAGTGAATCGTGAGTCGTTAATCAAATCTGAATTGATACCCAGCCCTATTCCGAGATTGTGTCTAAACATATCGGCGGAGTTCATTTTGCTGTGCCAAGTAGCCTAAAACCAGTGATTCCCAACCACTTATTTGCTCTGAAATTGTTATTTACTAAATACAATAAAGTGTATGTGTTCAAACATCTATTCTGTTAAACTATCTTAACAGGTAGAACAATTAAAAGCTCTTCCAAAAACATGGGAGAATATAAAATGAAAATGCGTGTCCACCTGATGCAATTTCTCGAAGAGAATAATAAATAGCTTTGTCTTCAAATAAACCGGCACAGACTTCACAGCGGGGAGACGATATAATCATTTCACCCCATAAACGATACTATTTTGCGACAAATATGAGCGCGTGGTGTGAGCTCGTTCTAATGTAAAATGCATACCTTGGCTAAATAATACTGGGAAATACCGGCTTATACACGCAATAGCAGTTGTTATTGTAGCTAGCGTAAACGCGATGGCTGTTCTTAGCGTATTGGCCGCCATTTATCTTCAAGAATCTATTAAATGCATCACTCTGTGCATTCCACTGCAGTTATTTTAAGGGTTTACAAGATGTTGACAACTCTCCAATGATTTTGCGGTCACCGGTAACTGGAACACTGGCGTCAATAGAAACATCGATACATTCACATTACGCGTAGTTCTGCCACCCAAGACTTAATGTGAAGAAGTGTGTCACTCGTATCGGTTAATTGTCCATAGCCTTCACCCAAAACGCATTCGTTAGACTGACAACGGCTGAATTTTGAAGCAAAGGCTAAACAATCAATCGCTTAATGTCATTAGCGGCTGCTAAAGCTAATGCTTGCCTCCATTTTGCACGAGTATAGGCACCGCTTTGCGGTCATTTGGGGACAAGGGGCTGTGTTGGTATTAAAACGCAACCATCGTACTCACCAAGGGTCAATTTGAGGAGGAGTAATGTTGTTGTTGTTGTTGTGCGTCTACGCAATGACCGGCGACTCGCTGCCCGTTCCCACCGGCTGCAAAGCGTTCTTCGCTTCTTCGCCACAGCAGGCCGCTCCGCTCTTGGCCGCACTCGCAACCTCGCAGTCTACGGTGCTTCTGGAATGTTCTTTCGTTTTATCCAGGAGCCATTTCAGACAAAGTGAAATTGACAATTGGGTATGTGTTTCAACCAAAAGTCGATAGCTGAGTGACGGTCAGCCTACTGGTGCCATTGATGAGTGGGCTATCCGCGGGATAAGTCTACTTTGTTTAGGACAACATCCTGGCCAGGCCGAGCCTAGCGACGGCTAGTCACTTCCTGGTGGCGACACCACGTGATCCGTAGCAATTCGCTTTAATTTTTGCACATGGACACACAAATATGACCTTATGCGAAACGACATTCAGAGACAGTCTCGACAAAGACGATTCTTTTAAAAGTTTTCAAAGGCATAAAGGAGATGACTTTCATGGTGCTGAGAGGCACAAAGCGCTGGCACACGACGTACGGGTTACACGTTTATTAGTGGTGTTTAGAGCAGAGCCGATTGCTCTAAGACTGCAAGGGAAGCTCAGCTTCCCCTAAAATGTCAAAAAGTAAGTGATCAAATATATGTGTACGTCAGTGGCGATTGCTCTTAGACTGAAAGGGAAGCTCGGCTTCCCCTAAAATGTCAAAGAATAAGTCATCAAATATATGAATATAAATTTCATTGTGTGTACATGTCATTGACTAAATATGCGCTACAACGTGCTCAACTTTTGTTCCGAATCAGCTTCTTCTTACTGGTTACGACGCGACTCCCTTCTCATTCATTCCCGCAGTTTCGCTGTGCTTGAAACGGACGCTGAGCGTCCGCAGAGCCTCTACTGCCAGTACGCTGAGCGTCTCCAGAGTTCATGGTAGGTTGTCCTAACGCGTTGAACGGAGACGAGTCATTGGATACAGGCTGGTTTTTGTCCCGCCCACGCACACTCGGCGTCTCTGGGACTGGATGGCAGTGGGAGGGTACCGGACGCCAGGCTTTTCTGTACAGTATCAGATTGGATGATCTGTCTGAGCCTGTGTGCCAGTTTGATTGACATCGATATGAGCCAATCACCGACCTCTTAGTGTAGGCATCCGTGTGAGCAAATTTTCAATTCGCATTCTGTTCTGAGTTGAGCTGGAGATTTCTCCTAATCATTTTAGCGACACTCTTTGTTATAAACAACTAGCGACAAATTAATCTTTTATTTCTGGTGGGTTTTATTGTAGTTCCTGTAGTTGTAGGACACTAATTAAGTCCCTGGAAAAGACGCCTTGTTTGTATGACAGAGGCACAGATAATTTTCTTGAAAAGGAACGGAGAGTAGAATTCACGTATAAATAAACGGACACATTTTATGACGTAGACCGAAATTGAGCTTCCCCTCCTTGACAGAGCAGTATCCGCCACTGGTTTAGAGACACACATTTAATTAACGAAATCGTGTTGTTTTTTTTTTAGTTGTTTTATTTACATGAAGCTTGATGAATGCCAAAATATTTGGGTCAATAAATGAAGCAAATTACCGGTATTAAGTAATACTTGGCAGGTCTATGTGTGTGCGTGTGCGCGCTCCCTTCTCAAATGCAAACTTTTTTGTAAAGTAACTTTTTTTTTCAGCGCAAGAAAAACATATTTTGATGAAAATCAGACATCTGTGCAGTATTAAGGCATATTAAGGCAGTGTAAGGATAGAAGCATACAGTACTTGCATTTACTTGGCATACAAAGTCAACAGATCACTGTTCATTTAATACATATCTGTACGGAGCCCTAACTGCGTCACAACGCAAACCTTTGTCTGGGAACGCAAAGGTATTTTTTTTTCAATCATGTCGCGTAAGCTCAGTAACATCTCAATAAAAATAGTAATTTTAAAAAATTAAATAAATACTGTAAAAGCAGCACTTAAAGAAGGAAGAGCTGAGTTCAAATTCAAACATGTCGATTTGCAAGAAGTAAGACATTTATGTAATGTAAACCGACGATTAGTACGCAAGATTTGGAAAAGTTTGGAAAAAAATACTCAATAAATAAATCAATTAAATAAATACAGACTTAAAACCTTTATTGACAAAATTAAGGCACTGTAATTCAATAGTACAATATTACTTTTGTTCTCATCTTTGGTATGTCACATTTTGTCAAACATGTTGAATGTAGTGTCAAGTTATGATGTGAAATACATTTTACAATTTATTCTTATAATAACTATAATAGTGTATAATTATTTATGTGTGGCCCTAACACACCTTTGTACTGTAAAACATGTTTGTATTGTTAAATTGAAACTATTCTGAGGAATATGAAATATAAGGCTGGTAAAATTCAACAGTTATGTTAACTGTAATGGAATACTGACAAGTGTCATACTATACGTTCAGTTCACCAGTTCTTAATATCGCCCTTAATCTTGGGAGTTGATTACCAGAATACATGTTTCAGACATTCCTTATTGGCTTCCGTTCGATTCTGACAAAAACCAGGAGTGGGTTACACATGACGGTTTAGATTTACCGTAATCGGTTCAAAACCAAGCCACTCAGCGGTTGTCAGTATGTATAAATTCCAGCAGGTCAAACGTGGTGAGTAAAGATCAAAACAAGCTTCCCATTTTTTTTTTACCTGCTGCCTCCAAATAAGAAAAAAAAAAAACGTTATTGTATCTCGTATCTTTGGACTTTGACATCTGTGATTTAAATTACACACACATTTTTTTTTAAATATTTAGGACTCACATTTACAAGCATACAATTCCAGATTGTTTTTTAAACACTGAAAACCAATACAACTTGCACACATGCTGCTTTTCTGGCATGTTCCACCCGACATGCAGGGTGCAGAGTAAGTCAGCCCAGAAGTGACGTCTACTACTGGCATGTGTTGTAAATTTGGATCTGTTTGTTGATGTCATTGAGGATTGCTTTCATCTTGTCTTCCAAGCCATCCAGCTGACGAGCTTTCCCTTCCAACCTTCTCTCGTTCTCTTCGTAGTTTTTCTCCAGCTCTGCGGGAGCAAAATATTTTGGCGGGATATCAACATTGAATACACATTCAGTCATTTTTTTTTTTTTTTTTTTACATGAAAATCCATCCATCCATTTTCTACAGTGCTTGTCCTCATTCTGTTCACAGGTCAGCTAGGAGCCTATCCCAGCTGACTTTTCAAGAGGCGGGCCTAGTCGACAGCCAATCACAGACAATGTAATGACTCTCCTGAATTTGAATATAGCCATTTTGAGCCCACAATTTATTTCTTGATATGCACAAAAAATACCTGTTAGTCTCTGCAACTTTTTCTGGGCGTCCTGCAGTAGTTGTTTCGCTTCGTCCCTGAGGCTCTCTGCCTTCGTCTTGGCATCTTGAACAGCTTTGGCTTTGGTGTCAACACGCTGTTTCACCTCATGGTACTTATCGGTCAGCTGTCCATCTAGAATCTTGAGTATTAAAAGTTGAGAGTGTATGTGAGTAATGAGGCAACATTTGCCCGGACAGAGTGATAGACACACATACCTGCTTGGCTTCATTTGCCTTGTCTCGTGCCATGGTGGCTGTCTCTTCAGCCCGAGCTGCTGTCATGCTGTTGTTAGCGCGTTTGGTCTTAAGCACATTGATCTCACGGCCCAACGTGCTCAGACGGTTTATGGCTTCGCTTAGTTGCCGCTCACCGTTAGATGTCTCTGATTCTATCTGTGGAGGTTCGCGTGCAAGTCATGTGAAAGTCAGTTACGGTGGTTTTACAATTTTGAAACCAAAGTAAGACTATTTAAAAAAAAAAACTAAAAAAAAAACCCACTAAACACATGATTAACCCTTTCAGGGACCGTCCATGAGTGAGAATTGAATCGATGCAGCCAGCACAGATATTAGGGGATACAACCATTACATAACATGAAACCATTCTAAAATTGTTACACGCCACTTCTACAGAAACAAATAATTAATTGTTCAAATACATTTAAAATGTGTTTTTGATTTTTTTTTATGCGTCTCTTACTACATAAAACGTTTTTATTTGTCTTTTCCACCTATTATGGCTGAGTCCAAATGTATCCCCGACAATAAACAGGGGTTTCACTCTATATTTTATATGACACATGACAATGTTCAACTTTTTATAGCTGTATGACAGTCAGGAATAATAAAATGTTATTAATGCTCTCACAGGCAGTTAAGAGGTTGTGTGATTGTGACACTTGGAGCCTGGAAATGAATGAATTCAATTCATTTCTATTCCTATTGGAAAACTGTTTTGAAATTAGAACATCCTGTGTCATGAAAAGGATTATGTTTGACTCAGGAAGTTCCACTCTATCAGCATTATGGGACATGGGGAAAAAAAAGATCATATTGAAACAGTAGTATGGGTACTTCTGGTTACCTGTGCCAGGCGGGTTTCTGTGTCATCAATGTCAGCTCTGGCTCTGGCGATGGCCTTCTCTGCAGATGTCTGGGCAGTCTTAGCATCCACCAAGGCCTGCTTCACTCTCTCTGCGGTGGTCTTCACACCTTCAGCGTGATGCCTGCACAGCAGCACAGCGTTATGCACACAGAAGGTGTTTTTAATGTGAATCACTGCATATGAAAGGTGCGATACCAATTAAATTTGGCTGGTTGATTGACCAATGACAAATACCTTGCCCTCTTGGCATCCAGTAGTAGTTTTTCCGCCTTACGGACATCGTTCTGCGTCTGCGCCAGGATGGCATCGACATTGGAGAGGCTGCGGACGCGCTCTTTAATTTCGTCCGCAAGATGTTTGATCTGGAGAGGAGAAGCGGGGATGGAGAGCTCCAGCACACGATTGGCCACCGCCTCGATATGGTCAGGGTCGGCCCCTTCCTCTGAGAGAAAGGCACAAGACGAGTTCAAGTTAAGAAGTCGTCGTCATGACGTCTTCAATCGAGTGGACTCACGCAGGAGGAAGTCCCTGATCTGTTTGATAAGGTCTCGCAGGTCCTTGTTGGAGCGCTCCACTTGGTTCTTGGTGGCCTTGGCCTTGTTGAGAGCTGCTTGGGCTTTCCCCCTGGCCTCCTCTGCCTTGGTCTTTGCTTCCGCCACCTCACCGAAACAATACAATGACTTCAACTTATTGTTATAATTCATCAGTTTTTGCTGTCTTGCAGATAAAGAACAATGGGTTTGGATTTGTGAAAGATCACGTGTTATCCTTTAATTAAATTAAAATTAAAAACTGGAAAAAAAAAAACGTGTTGAAGTTTCTCAGTTTTATTTTGTGAAGTGGTTGACCGAAATAAAATCATCTGGATCCAGATAATTTTTTTAAATTGGAAAATTTGTTTCAAGCCAACCCTAAGAATGTATATGGCTCCAGATGATTTGGTTCTGTGCAGCCGCTTTACAAAATAAAATGTATCACATTTCAAAATGTCATTGTTTTCATGGTAGTCATTACAATCCCTAGAGAGATATTCAATATCTCACTCTGCAGTATATTTTTGCATTGCACACCATACGGAGGAAGTTTAAAAAAAAAAAAAGTCATTGACAATGAAGTTGGACACTGCAAAAATGTCAAGAATGAAAAAAAAGTCTCAGCAAACCAATTTAATTCGAGAGAAAACCTAAAACTAGAGGGTATTTGGTGAAAAATGTGAAGAATATTGACAAAAGAAAACTCCATTAAAAAAAAAAAAAAAAAAAAACTTCTGACCAGAGCTATCTTGGCGGGTCCCACTCAAACTAATCAAGTGTATTCTTGCGTTGGCATCCTTTGAAGACCAGCACAAGGCCGACAAAATCTCAGAAGTCATTTGAGATTGCGCACAGATTTTGACATTTGATGGTTTTCTTTCAGATATTTGTTGTAATTGAGAGTGTCTTATCCTGATGAGATATGCTTTGACTGTTTCAATTATATGCCATTCCACAACTCCCAATATGACTTCTCCGAATCTATTTGGGTGGCAACAGATATGATGCTATCCTGACAACGATAACGAACTGGAGTGCTTCCATACCTTGGTAACGAGTCCTTCCACTTCTCCCATGGCTTTGTTGAGCTCCTTCTCTGCATGCTTGGCTCTCTCCAAAGCATTGTCAGCTGCCGCCACAGCACCGTTACAGTTTAGGCCTCCACAGTGACGGTTCCCTTCATCGTCACGGCAACCCGCACCTCCGCAAGGGCTTTCAGCACAGGGAGCGTCGTCCATTGTACCACAAACCTGTTGTGGGACAGTTTTTTTTTTCATTGATGATAACGTTTACATATGCATAAAAATAACGGTTACACATCAGCATCATTCATACTTATCATCGACCAAGATCAGACCTTCTCGTTGATCTTCCGCAAGTCCAGATTCTGGACTTTGGTCTTGATTTCTCCCAGCGAGCGCTTGTTGGCGGCATTTCTACGGTTAAAGTCGTCCTTCTTAGCAGAGATGAGGCGCTCGGTGTGACGGCGGGTGTCTGCCGATTGGCTGACTGTGCTGGGCCTGCTCACGGTCGACTGGTTGGCACGTCGCTCAGCGTCGTAAGACTTGTTGTAGGAAGTACGAATGCTGTCGTATGCGCCTGGCAGAAAGGGGATAACAAAAGAGGAGAAACAGCACATTTTTTAAATTACAGACATTTAGGAATCAGAGTGCATCTTTAGTCATCTGAATTTTATATTTAATACAGAGTATTGATTTAACTGTGCAACGTAGGTGTATGAATAAACTTGTCCTACTGTCCTCACTCCTCGGAATGCTCCTCTTAGTTTGTCCCTCATTTGTCATTCAAACAGTCGAGTGGGCAGGCTGGCATGTGATTTTTTTTAATTTTTTTTTATTTTTTTAAATCAGTGAGTTAGGCCTTTGTGATTAAAATTTAAGAACTTTGACTAGCAACAAGTGGTCTGGCAAATCAGGAAAAATAATCCAATGAAATCTGTTACTCTATTGGTATGTTTCTGTTTGGTTGATATCTTCTGACCAGAGCTATCTTGGCGGGTCCCACTCAAACTAATCAAGTGTATTCTTGCGTTGGCATCCTTTGAAGACCAGCACAAGGCCGACAAAATCTCAGAAGTCATTTGAGATTGCGCACAGATTTTGACATTTGATGGTTTTCTTTCAGATATTTGTTGTAATTGAGAGTGTCTTATCCTGATGAGATATGCTTTGACTGTTTCAATTATATGCCATTCCACAACTCCCAATATGACTTCTCCGAATCTATTTGGGTGGCAACAGATATGATGCTATCCTGACAACGATAACGAACTGGAGTGCTTCCATACCTTGGTAACGAGTCCTTCCACTTCTCCCATGGCTTTGTTGAGCTCCTTCTCTGCATGCTTGGCTCTCTCCAAAGCATTGTCAGCTGCCGCCACAGCACCGTTACAGTTTAGGCCTCCACAGTGACGGTTCCCTTCATCGTCACGGCAACCCGCACCTCCGCAAGGGCTTTCAGCACAGGGAGCGTCGTCCATTGTACCACAAACCTGTTGTGGGACAGTTTTTTTTTTCCATTGATGATAACGTTTACATATGCATAAAAATAACGGTTACACATCAGCATCATTCATACTTATCATCGACCAAGATCAGACCTTCTCGTTGATCTTCCGCAAGTCCAGATTCTGGACTTTGGTCTTGATTTCTCCCAGCGAGCGCTTGTTGGCGGCATTTCTACGGTTAAAGTCGTCCTTCTTAGCAGAGATGAGGCGCTCGGTGCGACGGCGGGTGTCTGCCGATTGGCTGACTGTGCTGGGCCTGCTCACGGTCGACTGGTTGGCACGTCGCTCAGCGTCGTAAGACTTGTTGTAGGAGGTACGAATGCTGTCGTATGCGCCTGGCAGAAAGGGGATAACAAAAGAGGAGAAACAGCACATTTTTTAAATTACAGACATTTAGGAATCAGAGTGCATCTTTAGTCATCTGAATTTTATATTTAATACAGAGTATTGATTTAACTGTGCAACGTAGGTGTATGAATAAACTTGTCCTACTGTCCTCACTCCTCGGAATGCTCCTCTTAGTTTGTCCCTCATTTGTCATTCAAACAGTCGAGTGGGCAGGCTGGCATGTGATTTTTTTTAATTTTTTTTTATTTTTTTAAATCAGTGAGTTAGGCCTTTGTGATTAAAATTTAAGAACTTTGACTAGCAACAAGTGGTCTGGCAAATCAGGAAAAATAATCCAATGAAATCTGTTACTCTATTGGTATGTTTCTGTTTGGTTGATATCTAAACTGTTGTTTGAGTTATGTTTTTTATTGTAAATCCTCAATGTCTATGTCTGTGGTTTATAACTTTAATATGATGATATAAATTGGAATTAAAAAAAAAAAAGCACAACAATGTATCTCAGTAGTTGGCACCACACAATTTTTTAAGACATGAACGATACATTTTTAAAGTACAGGTATAATACATACATACAGTTTCATGAAAACGATTTTATCATGACATATTTGCAAAATTAAATAATAATAATAATAAATAATAATAATAATAATAATAAGCTCACCTAGGAAATTGGAGTTTTTTAGGATATCAAGCTGGTGATGGAGCTGCTCTGAGGTAAGGTTCAGTTCTCTGGCCTCTCTCTCAAGAGAACTCAGCTCCTTGCTTACTTCTGAGTTGCTGTCCTGGACGACAGTCAGATCTCCTTCCAGACGGTTCAATGTGTCGGTGGTGTCGCCGATCTGAGATCTAGGGTAAAAGGCAAGTAGTTGTAAGTGGATATTAGTCATAAAACATGTTGTGATTCATAATATACAATTAAACAAAGTTGACGCAACAGAGACTAACATACTACTCAATCCATTTAGGACTATCAAGATGTAATTGAAATTGTTATATTGTTATATAGAAAAGCAGAGAAGTGGCAAAGCTTCCAGAAGATAAACAAGGACACTTACAAAGTTGTGGAGCAATCACGTTAAAGCCGACTTGAACGCTAATTGCCACATAACATCCACCGAACGCAAGATCATCTTTACCTAATTCACTGCTATTGACAGCTTTAGAAGCATGTCCACCTTATAGTGCAGAAGTGGAGGGTTCGATTCCAGGCCCCGGCCTTCCTTTGTGGAGTTTGCAAGTTCTCCCTGGGAACTACGTGGGTTTTCTCCGGGTTCTCCGATTTCCTCCAACGTTCCAAAAACATGCATGGCAACACTCTAAATTGTCTCTAGGTGTGATTGTGAGCGCGAATAGTTGTTCGTCTATGTATGCCCTGTGACTGGCTGGCAACTGGTTCAGGTTGCCCCCTCCCTCTACAATGGTATTAGAGGGATGGCCACGCTTGTAGGAACTACAGTTTGTATGGTGTGCGCTGTCACATATTAAACCTGAGAGCGATATCTGTATGCATTACACTGAGTAAAAGATTTGAAGTCATAAAGGAACCAGTACCTAAGCTGTTCAATCAGCTCCATCAGAGTGGTAACGGCGGCAGCAGTGGCATTGCGTGAGTTGACGATACTTTGAGCTTGGGCCAGTTTCTCCTCAAGGTCCCTGAAAGCCTTCTCATATGGGCCGGTAAGGCCAGTGGTCTGAATCTCATGGGCACGCTCTGCCAAAGCCCTGGTGCGCACCGCCAGATCCTTTTGCAGGAGAGAATATTTTTGCTCCATTGATGACTTGACATTTCATCCCACCCGATCTAACTATAAACCTCGAAGTAAGATACTGCACCTGGACAATGCGGTCCCAGTCCCCAAAGCATTGATGGCAGGGCTGGCAGTTGGGGAAGACGCCAGAGAAACCTCGGGCACACTGGTCACAGCGGACACCCGACACCCCCTGCTGGCATACGCAATGACCTGTGACTCGGTTGCACTGAGACGTCTCAATGCCTCGCCAGTCGCAGTCACAAGCTGTTAAGAGGGCCAGAGAAGAGGAAATGAAGTCAACACCTGCGCCCTTATAATTCTATTTGTGGTATAGAGACAAATATGTTCTGCCACCATCTCGTGGGGATCAAGAAACGATCATGTTGAAGTGAGTCAAGCAGCTTCATTTACAACAAAAGTAGTGCTTTGATGCCATCTTGTGGCATCAAGATGTATATTACTTTGGCTCATGGTGCTGACCTCTACACTGTGTCCGAGGGTTTCCCCAGTAGTTCTCCTGACAGTCTGTGCAGGTTTTCCCACCGAATCCATCGCGGCACTGACACTGTCCACTAAACTGAACAAAAAAACAAAATGGAGAAAAAAAGTGGAAGTTTACAAAATTACAAGTAGTGTGGCCTTCTTGACTTCTGCTGCTACACAAAGGAGAATTTGAACATTTTTTTGGCGTGGGGGGTGGGGAGGGGAGTTCTAAGCCATTATTATTTGCGTCATTAGACCGACTAAGATTAAAAAGCAAAAAAAACTCTGTTATGGTCTTTTTACTGGACTCCCTCAAAAGAACATCAGATAGAACTCTGCAGCTCGGGTTTTGGCCACAACAAACAGACTATATGTAGTTCCATTATTTGTCCGTTCTGAAATTCAAAATCCAAACAGAGGAGGTTGACCAATATCCCGAGGCAGATGGTCCTTCGAGGTTCCACTGCGCCCCACAAATAATCATGTTCACAAAATCAGGTTACATTTGGTGTCGGGTGTCTTGCTCGAGACGTGTGCTCAGAACAGCCCCACATTTCATATTTTGTATCCCGTACCACTTCTGCTTTATAGTCAATAATGTGTATTGAACTCAAGTTCAAGTCAGACTGACTTTTCTGCTGCGATGTTTCATTTCGTGTGTACTCGTATGTACCTCGTTACATGATGAGGTGACCGAGTTGTGGGGGTCACAACTGCAGGGTTCGCAGCCTTTTCCACTAGCCAGGTTCCAGTGGCCGGGGGAGCAGTGGTCACACGTCTGACCGATGACGTTTGGTAGACATTGGCACTGCCCTGTTTGCCGTTGACACACGCAGTCCTCACGCTCCATACACTGGCTGCGCTCCGTACCAAGGAAGTTACATATGCATTCTAAAGTGTGCATGGGAGGGGGGATAAGCATCTCATTATTTATATTAAAATAAAAAATATGTTTGGGCAGCAGGAAGGGTCAAAAAGTGACTTACTCCTGCAGTTGCGTCTTGAAGCGTCTCCAAAATAACCACTTTTGCAGATGCCGCAGTCGGGTCCTTCCGTGTTGTAAAGGCATTTCCTGCATTCGCCGATCCGCCGGTCGCACGCGTCAATGTCGGACATGTCTATGTTGTTGTTGCACTGGCACGGCCGGCAGCCTCCCCCGGGCTGAGAGGGGTTGCCATAGTAACCGGGAGCACACGCCTCACATCGAGTACCTAAATTGAGAGAAAAACGCAGATCGGTCAGACTGGAGGAAACGGTTTTGTTCATCGCGATGTCCATCTCTCCAATTAAAAAGACGATTCGATACGTAGCTGAATTCCTGGAGTGCGATACAATTCCAGGGCGGTACGTTTTAACGTTCAATAGATTCAATTTGAGAAGTTACAGTTCGGTTCAAGAGGGTGACATGCAATAAGTTTCTTGTTGAAATGAGACAATCGTTTTACGTTTTATGTGAATGAACTTGTCAGTACTGTAAATGCGGCATTTAAAGGTCGGTTCTCAAACAAACCCAGGAGAATGAATTTACGCAGAGCAGACCAAGTGTCTCTTTGGGAGAACGCAGTAAATGCAGTTAATTTGTACACTAATCAGACAGATAGCTAATTAGCATTACAATAATGTACAGTAGTCGCATCCGGGTATAGCTCGCAAAACCAGCCCTTCAATCCTTGCCAATCCAGCCGATCAAGGACATAGACCCAATGTAAACCTGTTCTACATTAAACTGTGCTCGCCACACAAAACAACCGTTTGAATGCCAGTCAGATTCAACTGTGTGCCACACCGTGATGCGTGACTGGAAAAATACCTGGCATATTTGAGTCTGGCAGAAGGGCGGACAAGAGGAAATTTGAGAAAGAGGGAATGAGAAGGTGGGGAAAGATGAAACGGTCACATTCATAAAGTCTTCAGAGGGGAAAAGATGAAAGTTGGACGCGAGTGGCAAAAGTAAAGGAGTATCAGCTCTTTTGTTGGTTGTGGAGGTGATTTCCAATGTTACAAAGTCAGAGATAAAGAATGAACAGTTCTTCAAACAGAGTTGACTTCAATCACAGACTTGCCTCACAAAATTTTTTTTTTCCCCCACTCCAAAACAAAATAGGACATGTTGGTCAGATCCTTGAATGGGGGGGGGGAAAAAAACATCCACATACAGGTTCAGAAAGTAAGAATGCATGGTTGTAAAGACCAACGATGTACCCCACAAGACCTACAGTATACCGAAACACAAGTTGAAGCACAATTTATTTGCGACTGCGGGAAACAGTCAAACGAACGTCTCATGACGCTTTCGATACGAAATCTCAATGGGGTACAATTACATACCATAACAAGACACATGTAAGCCTCAGAAAGTGGTCAGCTGACATTTTAATAGCAGTGTCCACGGTACTACGTAATGCTCAGCACAGCCGCTCACAAAGAAAACACATTGGTGGAGGCATGTCTGAGCACCTTGGACCACACAGGGTGCGAAAGCAAAGCATGCATGGCCAGGACATGGTGGAAAATAAAGACAGACTTGTGGTGCAGTTGGCAGTGCTGAATTCCAATTTTTTTTTTTTTTTACTCACGTTTACAAATGGTTAGCCTGGAGCGTTTAACAATCCCTGTACCAGTAATACAGGGGAGGGAGGAAACAACAAAACGTTAGATATTTAAAGTACCAGATTAAAATTGGCCATCATTTGATCTTGCTCTGGAGAAAAAGTGAAACCATAAGTTTAAAATACTAAATCCAGCACTTTCGCTTCATGGAATTGTTCTGTTCGTTCACTTCAGAAGGTTCAATTTACCATTTCAATGAGCGGAACACGCTGTCAAAGCTTTCAAAACTAGAGCAGCTCATCATAAATCTGTTTACCTGTGTATCCCTGGTTACAGTTGCAGACAATTTGCCGGTTACGGTTGTCTTGGTAACAGGATGCTGCAAAATGCCGTCCACTGGTGGGGCCGTCCGGACAGGGGCACGGGCGACACCAGCCGCCAGCTCCTACGCCGAGGATTGGGTTACCATAGTAGCCATTGGCACACCTACAGAAACGGTGAAGTCGAGACAGTCAGAGCATTTGGTAAACTCTGCACTTTGTAAAGGCGTGGGAAAAAAAATCGCTCTCTGATGGTTGCCATTAACCTTTTCTGGGACAGCGGTTACTACAGTGGACAGTTTATCAGATTATCAGGTTACAGGTTCTCATTATTTGTGCATCGCAACCCTAATAAATTAAACAGGAACAAATTGTCTGGTGACATGTCACAGTCAGACGTCACCTGTCGCACTGGTCTCCTCCGGTGTTGTCCCTACAGTGAATGCACGCGCCGCTTCTCTGGTCACACTCGTCGGCGTGGCCGTTGCATTGGCAGGGGCGACAGTTGGGGAAGCCCCAGTGACCTGCCTGGCATCTGTCGCACTGTTGGCCAAACGCTCCGGGGCGGCACTGGCACAGCCCGGTGTACTTGTCACACAGCCGAGTGACCGAGCCTTCCACGCTGCAACCGCAGGCTGCACGGAGAGAGGATGAAACGGGACGAGTATGACATGAAAGATGGATATGGATCGATTTTGCATTTCAAGATTTCAAATAAAGAGGACTGAGGTGTGGGATTTTCTGAATGCGCAATGATGAACGCCAGTAGATGGCGCTCGTGTACAGTAAGCCACACTTTGGTACTGTAATGCAGACATACTGAAACTATAACCACTGACTAAATGTAGTGCATTTCACAGTTGTTTTCATTATTGTATTATGTTGACATTATTAAAAGTTAAATCATACTTATTGTATAATTATATACTGTAGTACTTCAAGGTTAAGTGGAGAATGTACCAGTTATTCAGACTCTGGTCACATTTGGGTTTGTCCAAATTTTTTTTCATTTGTTTATTCATTTGCTGTATTTATTTTTAACCCCAAACCGTGCATTTTCAAAACAGGAACAATTACAAAAACGTTTCGGGTTATGTCAGAAGTTACCCAGATCCATGTGCAAGGATGCAAAATATTGCATTTCCTCAAACTTGTAAGGGTTAAGGTGGTTATTTTTTTTTCCTCTTTAACACATCATTTTACAGAAGGTATAGAGAACCTTCAAGATTTCTTTCTATTTTATTTTATTGATTCAGACCTGTGAAATTTACAAACATGAATTTTATCCTGGTAAAACAATTCGTGACTAAGTCTGAACATGTTAATTTGGCTTCTACCTCATCTTGGAAAAACGCTTTTCAAATTTAAATTGACTTAAAATGTAACCAGATAACAGTATTTTAAAAAAAGAATAAGAAATAGAAAGAATAATAATAAGAAAAAATCTCAGTTAATGCATTGCAAATGTAAAACAACATGATTTGATGTCGAAAACGCTAATCGCCCATAAGTAGCCTCCATATGGATCACGAGAAAAATAGAGCCTCAGTTTAAAAAGATCTCTTCTCACCAATGCAGCCCGAGGGTCCAAAACCGTAAGTTCCTGGGGCACACTGTTCGCACTGTCGGCCAATCACATTGGGCCTGCAGTGACACTGACCCCCGCGGACGTCGCACACTGAGCTGATGGAACCCTGGGGGTCGCAGTTACAAGCTGGAGGGAAACGCAGATTGTAACACAGATGACCACAATTGTTGAGTTTTATTCGTGAACACCCGAGGATGGGTTCACAAAGAAAAAGAAATGCGACGAGGGGAATTCATGGGTTCACTGTACCATGATTGAATCAAATTAAAAGTGTGTCTCCGTACTCACGCAAAGCCCCGTCGTTAATAACAGCCGACATGCTTGCGATCAGCTTAGCACAGGTGTCAGTCATGGAAGGGTGGGTCACGCTCTTCGACCCCTCGTGGCAGCGGTACCGCTCATAGGTCTGTTTCCTGTTGCTGGAAGCCAAGTCCCCGGCGTTGAAGAGCTCCATGGAAGAGTGACGAGGCATCAAGGCAATCTGGAGCGAAGAGGCATGCTCACAAAAGTGACCGGGGAACAATGTTATCGTGTCGAATGAGACAAAAGTAAGGAATCATCCTCACAGAGTCGATGAGGAGGATGGCGTTGGCCGCTCCATTAAGGACAGCATTGGCGTCCTGATAGCGTCTGAACTCGAAGCGGATGGTATATGTCACACCTCTCTCCAGACACACAGGCTGAGGAGGAACCATGAACCTAAGGATATGTTTAAAAAAAAAAAAAAAGATTAAATCCCACAGTCATATTGGTTTTTACCCTGAGTGGCATGTGATGTCATTTTCAGTCGACAGTAAGTAGCAAAATGCGTTTTTAAAGGCATTAACCGTATGTGAACAATAATGACGTTTCCACATTGATTCTCGAGAAAATAATACCGGTAATTGCTTACTGTTGAAATTTGCTAAATAAGTTTAGTATGCCTTTAAGCCTGGAAAGTAAATAAGATGCAAACTATAGTCAGCAGATGGGAGCATTGCGTCTCTTTTGATCACCACATGTCTAAACAATGCTTGTGAACATGGTGGATTGATGGAAATTCTTAGTTACAAGCAATGATGGAGAGTAAATATTTAAATTTACAAGTAGAAGCACTTAAATAATGTACATACATGCACAAAAATACTTGAATGGCACGATGCACACACGCGACAAAATACTACTATTACTAAATGGCGCGCAAATCGTTTGTAAAGTTTGTCAAATGTAAAAGCACATTTTCATCGCTGCTCCTGGTATTTTATAGTAGGAAAGGATGTTTGATGCGTCACTAAAACAAAAATAATTATAAAGTTTATTGTTTTGCATAAAATATATCTTTTCACAAAAAGCTTGTTTTCTGCGCTCTTTGGTACAAAATATGTGATTTGATTAAACTAAACCACACTCGAATGCTGATTGCAAAAAAAGAATATTAATTTAGAAAAAGAATTATGTGATGACAGAAGAGGGTCAAATCTTTCAGTTGTTAGTTTCTGTGTTTACCAATATTTTGTGAGCCTTAAAAGATCAGTCAGAATGCCCTTTTTTTCATGGCTAGCATTGAAAGAGTTCTGCACCATGATGACATGCGAAATGTTTATCATTCCAGATCAATATATACAGTATCCAAAGTACTGAATACTGAAAAGAATGTATCTTGCATAGATAAGAAATCAGAATACAGAGACCCCTGTTTACTTTTAAATGTCCTATATTAGATATGTCAATCAATGAAATTCTCCTAGGGGAGCTTTTTAGACTACAACAGAAAAATTGAATTAGTCTTGCTTGGCCAGACAATGGGGAAATTCCAATTGTATAAAAGCAAATTTACGTTATTTATAACACTAGCCAATAACAATGAGCACAATAAGCAGCAACAGTATGACTTCTAATGTACATGAATGAATAAATACGACCTATGCTGATGTGAATATGAGGGGGGAAAAAAAAGTCAGCAAGGCTCTGCGGCAGTCGCAACACTCTACACCATAAATACTTCACACATAAGTAGTTCTGAATGTTTTTCCACCATCCCAAAGTTTTGTGGTTGAGTGTGTGCATGTGCGCTAGAGCAACAAACCTGGCTCCAGCGGGCAGGGCGACAACTAGTTTGTCATCATCTGGAATTGTGTTCCCACAGGGGCTGCTGGTTGGAATCGGGCCTGGACGGACGACTGTGATTCGTACTTCTTCCCAGTCCCGGGGCATCTGGAATAGATGAATGTTATGAGGCGATGGATGTCATCTACAAAGTTGATCGTTGTATCAGACAAAAATATTCAAATATCTGGCCATTACACCAACAGGAAGTAACATTGCACTTTGTGTCAATAAAAGCTTCCAATCATCTGGGAAACATGCCTTTCTATTTATTAAGGACAGCAGTTGTGATTCCCAAAATACTCACAAACGTTTAGAATTAAGATTTAAGGGTAATATATAGCGGCCTGGTGGTCGACTGGTTAGCAGGTCGGCCTCACAGTGCAGAGGTGCAGGGTTCAATTCCGGCTCAGGCCTCCCTGTGTGGAGTTTACATGTCCTCCCTGTGGCTGCGTGGGTTTTCTCCGGGTACTCCGGTTTCTTCCCACATTCCAAAAACATGCATGGCAGGCGAATGGAACACTGTAAATTGTCCCAAGGTGTGAGTGTGAGCGCAGATGGTTGTTCGTCTGTGTGTGCCCTGCGATTGGCTGGCAACCGGTTCAGGGTGTACCCTGGCTACTGCCCGGAGACAGCTGGGATAGGCTGAAGCACTCCCCGCGACCCTTGTGAGGATCATGCGGATCAGAATATGGATGAATGGATGGGTAATAGATAATGGACAACCAGATTAATTGATGAGGTGTGTCTCAACACTTTGCTCTTGAAATGCACCCACCTGTGACTCATAGCGAATGAGCAGGTCATACTCCATGGAATAAGGGATGTTGCTGATGATGAACTCAAGAGTGCCACCTTCGGGTATGCGGGCAAACCCAATACCTGTCCATGTGGCTGGACGCCCTTGCTGGTGTTCCCTGGCCTCCAGTGTGCAGCCCTTGATCGAAGACGAATATGTTCATTTGTGCAATTTGATGTGTCATGTCATAGATGTTCCTTCGATCAAAAATCTCACCTGACCCATTTTGGCCAACTCAGCTTCATACAAAAGGTAATCCAGAGCCATGAAGAAATAGCCAGACTCCACCTGTGTACACTGGCGTCCTGTCATGTGACTGCGGCAGCGACACTGTCCACTATCGATGGAGCAGCTATGGAGAACACATGATTTTACATAAAGTACTATTTTTATAAATTTGTTTAATTTTTTTAAAATTCACAAATCGACTTTAGTTCTTAACCAAGTCTCTCTCTCTCTCTCTCTCTCTCTCTCTCTCTCTCTCTCTCTCTCTCTCTCTCTCTCTCTCTCTCTCGCCAAATATACCGGTTATTTGTCATTATCACTCAGCGCTGCCATTTAAATAAGAGGATGTTAACCTCTAGTGCCACAGACTAAACAGGAGGCTACCGACGCTCAATTTATTTGAATCTGCTCAGTTAACATCACTCACTGGTTATCCAGAGCAGCTCCACTGTCACATTCACAGCCTCGGCAGCCATTCAGGTCAAGACTCAGGCCCCAGTGTTCTGGCTGGGAGAGATAGATAAACAGATAAAACGAGGGCTAGGGATAGAGAGAGGAAATCTTGGCAACTGAAAACATCACCCGTCATTCTCTAAAAGAAGTGTTTGAGTCACACAGATTGAATTCAACCCTGTAATCTCAAAGACTAACATTCACAGCTTTGTGGTATATCATCACTGTCTGGTTCCTGTTATTTAACATTGTGAGTTGTCTTCTCTTCCAAAAGAGTGGTTGTGTTTTCGATGATGCAGCAACCACATTGAGAAGGCAGCTTCATTGTTTCATTGAAGTACTTTAACTCCTTCACACTCAATGATTATTTCTTGTTTTATGTAAGTTAAGATCCACTTTCGGACCTGACCATTTTTAGGCCGATGGAAACCCACACCAAGTGGACTACCCTAAAATGCCTCAACTAAATTTAGACAGAGAGTCCAAGCAGGAGCTCACATTCCTGCCCACACTATTCCTGGATGAGTGGGACAAGACGGACAGTGAAAACAAGCTTGAAGAAAGGAAGTCAACAATAATAAGTAGTAACTAATAGTGCAAAACTCTGAGTCAATAGGATGTGATTTTCATTCAGCGAGTTCAGTAATTAGGGAGCAGAATGCCAGTTGTAAACCGGTGACCTTCGTCAGCACGACGGTGAGCGCCTTACCGGACATTGATCACAGCTTCGTCCGGTGACAAGACGCTTGCAGAAGCAGTCGCCACTGACCGCGTCGCACTGGGTGCTGCCCGCCACCGTTCCCCTGTGGTCACACCGGCAAGCTGCGGGAGGAAAAACAGAAGCTTTTTTTCAATACTTGTTCAAAAATAAAAAATAAAAAATTAAATACCATCAGGTCATTCTTCAGATATTTGTGTTGTTCTTTTTTTTTTTTTTTTTTTGCGCATTCCAAAGCAAGTCTGCATAGGAATCACAAAACCCAGAACTGAAAGGAGTGTATTATGGTTAGTTACACAAATAAATAAATAAATAGGGGTTTGCATGTTCTCCCCGGGCCTGTGTGGGTTTTCTCCGGGTACTCCGGTTTCCTCCCACATTCCAAAAAACATGCATGGCAGGCTGCTTGAACACTCCAAATTGTTCCGAGGTGTGAATGTGAGCACGAATGGGTGTTCGTCTTTGTGAGCCCTGCGATTGGCATAGGTCCAAAGAGTAATGTTAAAATGTATGCATCGAAATGAACAATTCACGGCAGTAAAAGGTTTAAATCGTAAGTGAAAGTTCAATTGAATAAACGGGCTTGACTAAATTGACTTCGGCTTCCAAGGCGGGAAACAAGCACAACTTCAAAAGCATGTAGATGAAGTCAATGTCACACTTGTGCGTACTCACGCTGGCAGCCCTGAGGGTTGTCGGCACTCAGGCCAAAGTAGCCCGTCCGACACTTGTCACAGCGTTGGCCCTCAACGTTGGCCTTACAGCGACACTGACCGGCCACCATGCCCAACGTCGGCGCTGTGTGGCTGTCACACATCCCTCCATTCTCGGAGCCTTCCGGATCACAGTCACAAGCTAGGGGAGGCACAATGGGATGGGTTTAAGGATGATCTGCGATGATCTTTAGGAATCGTACATGCTCACACATGCCATTTGCTATTGGCTATTGTCCGATCAGATATGCAGACATTGCACTCACCTACGCAGACCCGAGGGTCCCGGATGTCTTTGAAGGGTTCTTTGTAGTAAAAAGGTTTGCACAATTCACAGTTTCGGCCCATCGTGTTGTGCAGACAGTCATCGCACACGCCTCCGCTGACGTTGCCCGTGGCCAAATACACCGCCATGTCAAAATGGCAGACTGATGAGTGGCTATTGCAATTGCACTCTGAAAAACGAACAAACACTCTCGTCAGGCGAAAGGCACACACCTCGGAAAATGCCGTCAAACTAAGGCAATGCTCGATAATTTTTAAAACATGGAATGATTGATTACGAGGCTTCATCATTTACTAGATGCATTTTCACCTCACTTAGAATCCTTACTGGCTCTGTGTCACCATCTTCTTTTTTCGAAATGTGAATTTTTACAATGCAAAGTATTTAAGATCGTTTGCGAGTATTGGATTTTATTGATTTTTTTTTGGGGGGGGGGCTATAGTCTAAGAGTGATATTACTCTTAGACTATAGCTAAAGAAAGGCTTTGGCAGGAAGTCATGTACAGGTTATAGCAAATGGCTTCCGCGGTAAAGGGCGATGCTCTTTCTGGCGTGAGTTCAATCCCAGAGCTGGACGAATAGTTTACTTTGAGAGATACCTTTCGAAATTCAAATATCATATAATAATTTAGTTAAAACGCTCTGCATTTAGTCTTCTTTTTTCTTTTTTTTTTTTTAAACCCCTTTTGTAAAATGTAAAAAAAAAAATGCTCATTGCTATGACTTTACGCTATACTGTAAAATATAAAATAAGTATTTTGAATAGAATTCTCTTTTGATGTGCAAAAGCACAAAATTGCGATTCGAAAATTGGGAGAGAAAAAAAAAGCTGAACCCCTTGACTAACAACTGTATAAGATTGAAGAACGTCGTATACATTCAAATGAAATATAATAAATAAAAGACATACTATTTTATTTCACCATGACACAATTGAAATTGTTCCAAATGAAAAGGTTCTTGTACTTTCCACGCCACTGATTTCAGAGGCGAATCTTAAAATCAGTATTTCAGTGGCGGACTCACTTTTGCATGCGTTGGCGTTGCGGCCCTCGGCGGGTCTCCATGGCATGTCGTTGTAGAAGTCTTCACAGCGCTCACAGTTCAAACCTTTCGTGTTGTGATTACACACACACTTGCCGTGAACCTGCAACCACCGATTGAGGGAGCGTTAGGACTCATTCTGAGAGAGATGTCGATTTTAGAAGGCAAAAAACCAAATCTGTTTGTTCGGCGAATGCGCACCATTCCTTCTATATCATCCCTGATGCCGTCGATTGGGGCGCACTCTGAGGCGTGGCCATAGCAAAAGCAATTTCCACGCACAACCAGCTCGTAAATAGCGTAGTAATACTTTTCTTTGATTTCAGGTCTGGGATCCAGCAGGTTGTCTCCCAGTGTGTGAAGTTTGGTGAAATTCACCCTCAGGTTGGTGATTTTCAGCTGGTCTGTTGAGCAAAAACAAAACGGACATGAAATTATGGTTCAATTAAACTGGACATGGAACTGAACCGGATCATTTCATGTACTGGACTGGTCGTCAAGGTGGTGATAAACAAAAGTCCCTATTGGGCGATACCATGCACACATGAGTGAGTGCACAACAACCCCCACTGGAGGAGGTGAGGGCAAACAGAGCATGACAGAGCTGAGTGCGTGGCATTCGCACCAAAAAAAGTTAAGAATCTGATTTGTCCTTTGAACTAGTTAGTTCACATAAAGTGTGGGAGAATTGACTTGAAATCCCGAATGAAGTGAAATTTACTCCCCTTATCAGCACCATGTCTGACCAAAGTGTATCAACAAAAATTGTTGAGGTGTAATAATCCATTCAGGGTCTGCAAAGCAAGCAAGAGAATATTTACATTCTGTACGGAAAACATGGGATGTAAAATATAAATATAAAGCCAATACGGACTTGTTCTTCTACACCAAACCTTGCTTTAGACCAGGGGTCTCAAACTCAATTTACCTGGGGGCTCCTGGAGCGAGGGTCACAGCACAGTTATTGATTGGTTGAAGGTCAGAAACCATGTGTTTGTGGTGGCCATTTAATATGAAATTAAATAAATAAAAAAAATTTATAACCTTTGAAAAGTTCGGCTAGCGGCTAGCACGGCGCTAACGCTAACACAAACACGTACACATAAAACTTCGCTTGTGTGTATGTAATCATGCCAGCTCCATGTTAGCGTCTTGCACTCATTTTCACTGTTCTTGTGCGTGTGTAACGTCAGGTCTGGTGCTTCAGAGCACCCGGCTCCGGTGACAGCCACACTGACGTGTTGTTTATCTGTTTAAATGTGTATTTAGCAGCACTGACGAAGGCAGTTGTTTCCATCTGTGTTTTACATGTGTATTTAAGCTGGTGTGGGACACTGTGGGCAGAAGTCACGTTGGGCTTTCGTTCCAGTGTTCCGAAGCTGTCGGCCTTCGAATGAGACAGATCTAACTATTTAGCATGGTGGTAGTGCTAACACATACAGCATCCATATCAAACTAGCTTGGGCCGCACTAACCTTAAACTTTCATATCAAGGCGGGGAACCCTTCAAAATAAGATTCCTCAACCCGGTCAAGGCTGCACTCCAACCATTGATGGTGCCATTTCCACGTGGCCTTATTTCGATTGCCTCCTTGAACCATCTTTTGAATTTATTGCTTTCTGATATGATGACTTTCCCCTTCTCCCAGTCCATGATGCGATTATTTCGTCTGCAGTGCACTGTTATGGCTAATTTCTTGTTTTCCTGTTCTGCTTATTGCTTTTGTGTTGTAGTATAATATTATACCCCTAATTAAAGCAATCCGCAGACAAGATGAATGTCATAGCGCTGGTTTTGAGCAATGCCGGGCCCAACGTGATGCATGGACTAACCTGCTGAGTGAGTCAATATTCGGCTTGAGAGGAAGCTTAGGAGTCATCACTTGGGTCACTTAATTGCAGCTAAATATTGTACGAGAAGACAAAAGCAGCTCATGCATTGAACTTGAATGTTCTGTTTTAGGGGAGAAACTCCCATGTTGCGGACGACGTTAACATGAGGTCCAAGACAATTACTCATTGTGGGGCACAAACAACTGATTTTGCCATGTGTGCACAAAGGCATGGTTCACACAGCCAGGAAGCGCAGATGTCGTGTGGTGCAGATGGGTCAAAAGAACTCCTTATGTCGCTTCCAAGTTGGTTGACGTCTGATTGATGGTGATTTCAGCTGCGTTCATTCAACCAACCATTTGGGATCAGAAATCATTTATAATTTCGTCCCAGAAGAGACATTTGGCAGGGAGGGAGAGGATGAGCAGCTAAGACAGTATGTCACAGTGTGTCTCGCCAGCTATCTTGTGTCAGACAGTGTTTGATCATGTTCATGTTTCGACATGGAACAATGAGCAATTGGTGGAAATTTGATGAATTTGATAACATCTGAAAGCGGCCCAGAGGGAGACCTACTCTGGATGTTTGGGCTGTATGGATCCTCAATCCTGATGGCTGGATCCAACACCCTGTAGATGACCTAGACCAGGAACAAACATTTCATGCACAATTTACTATGAAAGTTGGAAACAGTAAACATAAACTTTTTAAAATTAAGAATTTTGAAGATATTTTGAGTTCATGAAACATAAGTTGTTTTTTTTGTTTTTTTAGGCCACAGCTATCCGATGATAAGCAAATCCCAATTAAAAATATAACAAATGAAATCCAGTGTGATTCCTTACTCACTTCTCCCTCTGTGGATGGCTCGATGTCGGAATAACGCGATTCGCAGATAACATCGTTGATGCTGTGCAGAGCACCCTGGGATACACCAGGGAAGTTGGCGGCGCAGTCATGGGAAAAATAACGGTAGATCTGCCACGTGCGACCAAAATCGGCCGAACGCTCAATCAGCAAGGCTGCCGGACGGAATGTCTGCCAGGAAAAAAAAAAAGAAAAAGAAAATCATGATTTTTTTTCTTTTTTTTTGGTGGGGGGGTGCAAAGTATTTTGAAGTTACCTTGAAAGTCATAATGAGGTGAGTGAAATGAAACTCCGCCTCCAGGTCCAATTGGATATTTACATTTGACTTTCCTGCAAAATAGAGAGAGGTATATACGTGTCTCCATTTTTTATCAGCGCAGAGATTATAGTTGTTTCATACCGCAGTATTTGTACCTATTTTTCAGAAAATCATTCTAACCGATAAAAGATTAGTGCCTCAATAACGATATCCTGTCAGAAGATAAACCTTGAACATTTAAAAAGGTGGAGACGTTTCTGGAACGAACAATTAATTTAGTGGGCATGTCTATCATGAGGAGACTCAGGGCTGGGGCTGCAAGGGCCCATTAGTTGCTGTTGGCACCTTTAATGACCCCCAAATTGTGTGCCAATCCAGTGAAGGGATAATAAGAATTTCCCATTACCACATTTATATACAGTATTTTGAGAGTGTGAAATAAATTTGCAAAAAATCCCTTTTAATAATAAAGGCGCTTTTTTTTTTTTAATCATTAATATTCATCATCAATATGAATATATTCATCATGCTTCTCACGGTTGTCCTAACGTTATCTTAAATCTGGTGGACGTAAAAATTCATTCTTGCCACAGTTCACTTGACTAAAGATTATCCCCCCCGGATGGTCTACAATGAAAGGTGAATCATACTCAGCCTCTAATCAACGGCTGACAAGCACAGGAAAGGAAAAGTCGGAAAAGGAAGGAGGAAGGGTGCGACACAGCTCCATGGAGGGTAAAAGGTGGGGAGAGAGAGAGAGAGAGAGAGAGAGAGAGAGAGAGAGAGAGAGAGAGAGAAAGAGAGAAAGAATTCCATTTTAATGTACATATTCAGTTTTAATGGAAAATATGCGCACAGAGGATAATCCCCCCCCCCTTTCCACCCCCCCCTGCAAGTATGCATACTAACACAGTCAATGACCTTTCAAGCCAGTGAGTGAAACCACTATAGACATGGAGAAGCTGCCACGTTGTCATGGAGATGCAGAAGCATCTGTGACTAAAAATAACCACAGTTCTTCTCTTTCCTCCTCTGTGCGATTCCGTTTTATTCCGGCTCAGGCGATGGTGCCATACGGCTGGGGACAATGAGGTACCGTTTTCGGACTGCCACCATGACTTCTTGCGATGAGGCTTGAAGGTGGTGATCACGTTCTCTATGCGGTGATTGATGGTGTTGTAGACGGGGTCGTAAGGCCGTCTGGAGTCACAGTCGAAACATTTCTTCTCCTCCTGCATTGAGGTTGAAGGGTCGAAAGGTGAGAGCAAGTCACCCAAAAAAAAAAAAAAAAACTGACATGGGCGTCATATCGACCAATATTTTTTCTATGAGGTAGAAGTTACGAAAGGTATTTATGAAGCATGTCTGCCTCAAACTTTCAAGTTTTCTCAACCGTGTGAGTGAGAATAATGCTCTTGAGTGCTTCTAATAGTGATGTATATTTGTGAAATGTCAACTCCAGACACAATCACGCACCCAAACTCACCTGCAGGTGACTGACAATGCAGTAGGGCTCCTTCCTCCTCATGCCGCACGTGGATGAGGCCTTCAGGTTCTTCTCTCGTCCAACCAGCAGGTCCCCCGTTGCCGGGTAACAGCTGCCATGGGCACATCCGTGGTTGCGGTCGGGCTCCTGGCCGGCAGCTGCAGCCAAGACTGAAGGTAGATGAGAGGGAGGGCGGCAGGAAATGAATCACAGTGCACAGGAAGCAGCAGAGCAGAACATGATTGCCGGATAGCAACACAATCCACCTTTTTAATACGACTGACTTTTTTTTTCTTCAAAGAAACTCTTTTAATGGCATTCTATACATTTCCTGTCGAACTTGAATACAAATCACTGATGGCGTTGTGGTAACCTTGCCTGATTTCAGTATGTGCTCTGAGATTGACTAGCGAGCAGTCCAGGGTGTAGTTTGCCTTTTGCCCAAAGTCAGCTGGGATAAGCTCCAGCTCACCTGCATCCCTGAACAGGATAAGCCGTATAGAAAACAGATGGATTGATTTTTATGAACGATGTAAATGTGCAAATTGCAGTCGAGATGACATATTTCAATTGAACACGTTGAGACGCTGATATCGTTATTGAACCTGATCGTCTTTTGTGCTTATGTGGGATCAACATTGGGTAATTTATTTCCAAAATGTGAAGCTATAGTAAACTTTACCGTGTAAATTGTGATGCCTCACATGTCAGAGTTACAACAAAATGACAACTTTACAAATGTTATTTTTGTGATTGCGTTACTTTTCTAACACGCTAATTTCAATACCATTCAGGTACCGTTCAGTTGCAGGATGACACCAATCCTGCAACTGAAAGCAGCTTCACCTCCTCTTTTTTTTTTTGTTTAATTTTGCAGGTGACAAATGTTTGGGCCTATTTTTACATAAGAGAAGGAGAGCAATGGTGTGACACACTACTGTAAGCACAGCGGTGTGACTGCACCGTCGTGCTATGCGCGGGATTAAGTTAAAATAAAACCTTTCAGACTTTTGTGACAACCCGTAGCAGGCGGCTGACTTTTTTTTTTCATCTGTCTCCATGCTACAGGCACAAGTTTGACTGCATGATGTTATGAGGGAAATTTGCGAGAGTAGAGTGGAGACCCATGGGTCGTTCTGTCAAGTCTACAGCAAGACCGCAGCAGGTGGTTCTAATCCGTGCTCCATTATGTGACCATTCTGAATGGAAATATGTTACAGTGGAAGCTTGAAGGGATCAAATATCATCAAGATAAATGAATACATAGATGATGGCGAAAATGAGACCTCCGGGCAGTTGTTTCCACATAAAGAATTCATTTTTAAAGAGACGAAACTGACCCAAATTGGCACTCAGAGGAGCACAGACCTCCATGTCTAAATTGTGTTATTCATGCATCAGTGTCTTAGAAACTAACACAATGGTTAAAAAAAATAAAATAAAAAAAGGAGGAGGCAGGGGCCGTGTTCTGGACCAGGAGAAGGCACACTAATCAGATAATTAGAGATTGATCGATTGAGTGAGTGTTGATTAATTGCGGATGCCCCCGCCCCCACCCCCAAGGTGGATGCCTGGTGATGGTTTCGAGAGGATTAGGAAAATGTGGAAATATCTCATTTAGCAAACGTCATTGGAAATGTGTGTCAAATCAGCTTTAATAATGTCCACTCAAATACCAAACGCAGTTTCTCCCACCCCAAAGTTAAGAGTCTGGGTGTCATCCTCGACAGCACGCTAGCTAATCCAAGATCACCTCAGTGTTGTTACTTGACCAGACAATTTTCATCCATCCATTCATAAATTTTTTTGATCCGCTTTATCCTCACAAGGGTCGCGGGGCGTGCTGGAGCCTATACCAGCTGTCTTCGGGCAGTAGGCGGGGGACACCCTGAACCGGTTGCCAGCCAATCGCAGGGCACACAGAGACGAACAACCATCCGCGGGCACACTCACATCTATGGACAATTTGGAGTGTTCAATCAGCATGCATGTCAACCTGCCATGCATGTTTTTTGGAATGTGGGAGGAAACCAGAGTACCCAGAGAAAACCCACGCAGGCACATGGAGAACATGCAAACTCCACACAGGAAGGCCGGAGTTGGAATCGAATCTGGTACCTCTGCACTGTGAGGTCGATGCGCTAACAACTGGACCACCGGGCCGCAGTGACTATTTCCCATACACCAAAAGCAATTCTTGTTCACTCTAGGATTATATCCCACATGGAGTGCGACAACTGTAAAACCGACACCATCCAGGAATCCCTCCTATTCTCATGCAGCATCACTGGCTCCCGCTAAGCTATCAAATGCATCGCTTCCAAGCTCAATTCCAAGCTCAAACTTTTACACTCTTGCACGACAACAACTGAAGCCAACTGAAAAGCATCGCTTTCAAGCTCAATCATCTTTCAATGTTTTACACTCTTGCACGACAACAACTGAAGCCAACTGCTGTAAGCAGGGCTGAAATTGACATAAATTAATTGAAAATGTATGCTTGGCGGTCGACCAGATGATCCATCTGATTTAAAAATCTTCAACATACTCCAACATACTGGACTAAAATGAGTTGTATCGAAACCGGTTCCACTCAGAAGCTGGAATCTAATTTGAGAGTTGGAATGGGTCAACTCTCTTTCCTTCCTCGGAGCAGGTTCCACCCTCCCACAAAGCTCTGTTGAAGTCAGCGGGGGAATACGTAATCTGCTGAACAGATTTATAAATGGCACGGAGCCTCCTGGATGGAAGTAATTACCAACAAAAGCAGTGAGTGATACGAGTCGAGCCAGAGGTGCGGGACTCCACTTATCTTTTATCTGACAGTTCGGAAGTGAGTCGACATCTGCTCCGCAAATAACTGATACACACACACTCAAATGTTTGTGTGTGTGTGTGTGTGTGCGTGTGTGTGTGTGTGTGTGTGTGTGTGCGTGTGCAAAGAAGCAGAGAGAGAATTAGAGGGAGTGAAACAGACGTATACTGTATCTTGTCACATTTATCTCTCTACGTTTCTGTCTGTGATTGTGTAAACCTTTCACGGTCTCCATGTCTCACTTTTGACCTGAAAAAGTCCTTTCATGAATGATCAGTTGTGTACATTTTGCAAATCCTAGCCCCGCACTGTTTTCCAGGAAAGGACAGACCAATTTTTCATGCTAGTGATTAGATGTTGTTTTTTTCCCCCCTCGTTGGTTGATTTTTTTTTTTTGCAAATCCTAGCCCCGCACTGTTTTCCAGGAAAGGACAGACCAATTTTTCATGCTAGTGATTGGATGTTGTTTTTTTCCCCCCTCTTTGGTTGATTTTTTTTTAATGTATTTAGTTTTATCATTCTCATAATCATGTTAAGGGAATTTTTATTGACATTTTCCATTGATTTTCAATGAAATGGTTTTGCGTCCCTTTAAACTGGTAACTAGCTGTTGCTACAGCGAATTGAGGTATTAAATTAAGATTTTTTTTTCAAAAGTGTTCCTTTCTGAACAGAAAAAGAACAAGACGAAGAAAAAAAAAACTTTAGAGCATGAGTTCCTGATCTGGATAATTTTCAAATTCAATCTGAATTTGATCCCATTAGCATCTTCTTATTTTTTTCTATTACTTAAATGCATTGGTTTTTGCACTCTTCTCTCAAAACAAGTATTTATTAAATTAACATATACAACTATGTGGGGAAAAATGGCTTTGACGTTCAGCTCAGAGTCAGCGCGAGTGTGAACATTGGAAATGAAAGGTCACAGGGAAGTACTTTGGATTAAATACAGTACGGCAGGTTATCTTTCCTCCCCCTTCTGCACCCATACATGGAGAGAGAAGGCACGGAGGAATGCCGGATGACAGCTGAGCAAGGAGCCGCCGTGTCTGTGTATGAGAGGCTCGAAGATCACTCGCCACTGCTGTCAATTAGTCCGCAAGAGCAGGAAATACACTATTAGTGCTGTCACACTGCTGTGGACTACTTTTTAATACAGGCAATTAATCATGAAAGTGGGATTCAAGTCAAATAAATCTTTACGATATGTTCTGTGCCTTGTAATTGTGGAATGTGAAGTCAGTCGCAAAGTCCACCTGTTTTCACCCGTCGCTGTCTACTGAAAATGACATCACAGTACCTCAGGGCTCAGGTAACGCCCATCGCGGCTGACATGATTTCTCGGTTTGGTCATGTGACACTTGCAGGCTGAGCCCTGAAGCACTGTGATGTCATTTTCAGTGCGCAACAAGTGGCAGTAACAAGGCAAAACGTCAGCCCCCCTGAGATGGATTTATCTGCTTAATTCATGTTCCGCGCATGCAATATTAATCAGAATGCCGTGTTTCGGCGAATGAGGGTATATTCCATGTTCAACCCTTTCATGGACCCTGTAACCTGATAACATGATAACATAACCGCTGTCCCTGGAAGGGTTACGTCATTTCGTGAACATCGTTAAGTGTAGCTACTAAGAAGAGAGATTGTGTGATTGACAGACCCTCTCTCAAATCCACTCAGGATGAATGAAGAAAAACTCCCATTGACACACGTCCAATTTATATCTAGTTGCAGATGCACTCCATATTTAGTTCAATTCTCAATCCATCTGCATCACAACAAGTACAGCTACCGTGTGGATGATTGCAATTGATTTCCAAAAGAAAGCAACGGCAGGAAAACTGTCAGTCAGACGGGATGGCAAAGGGGGATTTAGAGAGGGGCGTGTCCTGGAGGGGAAGTGGCATCATCATGACACATTTCGAGAGGTCTGGCCAAACCCCGAGAATGGAAAAGACAAACTATGTACTGCCCCCATCAAGTAAACAATGTCTGCAACTAAACTGTAATTAAAGGGTTACAATAAGGTGGACATCTAATGAAGGTAAATGATGGCAGAGAACAGAAAAAGGCCTCGATTGATCTTCTAGCTGCAGCCTTTGCCGTCAGGTAACAGAGAAAAGTCAACATCCTTCTCCTGGCTAATCAACACACGTGCTCACTGCGTGTAGCTTCTATTTGTTCAGCATTTAGCGAAAGGATGACTGAGTCCCTACCAAACAACCGGCTGCTCTCCTCCTCGTCACAATCCCGCCTGGATGCCGCATCCCTCTAAGCAGCTTGCACTCCTCCTTTCTTCCTTGCTGTTTACTCATTTCTGTCATCCTCCGCACGCATCCTCATTGCGCAAGCGGT